CGACCTGCGATCGGAAGATTGATGTGGCTCACGGGCTAATCATTGTCAGGCTCCCTCCCTACGACCAAGGGGCCGAAGTATGTCTCGCATCGTGGTTGCAATGCGTAGGAACTAGGTACTCATGTTTCTGAAAATGTAGACTCAAGGCAGCAGCTGAAGTAGAGGAGCTCAAGGAAAAGATTGCGAACCTTGAAGCTGCCTTAAGAGCCCTCTCGCAGGGCCCTCACCCGCTACTCCGAGAAGAAGCTACCGCCCCTAGTTCCACTAGCACAGAGACCTTGACGTCTCCGTCGGGTAGCCCATCGCAGGCAAGCGGCAGCAACGGTTCACAGCCTTCGCCCCCTGAGGAGTCACATTCTGAAGAGGGCGAAGAGGAAGTCCTAGACGCTTTCGGTGGGGCTGTTGCGTCTTGAAGCACTTGTATCAAACTGATCACTCATTCAAAAAGGAACGCTGACTCTTGGTACTCGAGGAGAGGCCAGATTCTTTGGCCAAACATCACGAACGGAGGTATGTGAAGAGTACAATGCAACATCCCGATCGCTCTCAGACTAAGTGCATCGCCAGTACCTCATCCATGTATGTTCTCAGGACGCTTATTTGCAAGTTACTACGTTCACGGTGTATACAAGGCACCCGAAAGGCTCGGTCCGACGGGCAACTTCCTGACGCTGCCCAGATTGACACAGGTTACAGTCGACGAGGCTTGCAAGGAGCTTGACGTCTTCTGTACTAACGAACAAGTGGCCGAGGAACTCCTCTCGTGTATGCCTACCATGGAGCAGGCGCTTCGGTTGTGCGATATATACTTCGAGAACTCCAAGTTTCTGTATGTCGTTCGATCACGTTATCCGCATCTGTTTGCTTACGTCCGGTGCTAGGTGGTACCCTCTCCCGCGGGAGTATGTCTACACTGAGATTGTCTTATTCATCTACCAGCCACCCACGTGAGTGTCGCTCTATTCATCTGACAGTGTGGTGGCGTTGTGTTCAAGATGCGGCTGCCACAGCGGCGATTATTGTCATGTCACAAAGAAGCACGCGTTGTCGTTGCTCTTCATGATATTTGCGCTTGCTACTCTGTACGACTTGACAATGCCCCCGTATTCAGCGGAGGCAATGGAGTATTACCTGCTTGCCCGTATCGCATTGCGCTGGGCGCCGCCCACATATGACACAACCTTAGCAGCGATCCAGTCTTTGGTACGCCCTTGTACAGTTCTCTGTGGGCCCTATCGACTGATTATCTACAGCTATACATGGCGCAATACCTTGAGATGAGCGACTGCGAACCTGCGCACACAGGTTCTCACAAAGCCTGGGTTCAAACCCGCCACATCTGCACTCTGGGATACAGTGTGCGTTTACTGCTTCAAGTCCCAACTGATGGTTGACTAACGCCTTGATATAGATTGGCCTCCGTTCGTGTCTCTCCGTTGACCCATAACGTGTTCCGTAACTCACTGTTGTCGCAGACGTGTCTGGCTGTAAATGGCAGCTGGATGATGTTGCTATTGCCAAGCGGGCCCGTGTTTTCTGGCAGTTGTTCGCGCAAGATACCTGGCTCGTACGCCCTTTCGATCATCAGTTTCGCTCTCGCCACTAATAATTCTTACAGAGCTTCGGCTTCGGTCGGCCCCCGAGCATAAACCTGGCTTTCGTGGACTGTGACATTCCGAAGCCGGAAGAAATCATGTCACAAAACGGAACAAATTGGTCCACGGAATGTACGTATTCAGGCAGAGTAGTGTCGCTTTCCATGTCCTTACCTTGCATCGTCGTTCCACAGTCCACGTGTGGTCCTGGCAATTTTCGAAAGTCCTGCATAATGTCATGACGACAGCATTCGCTGCTACGTCTCCGACGTACGCCAAGATCATTGAGCTTGACAAGCGAATTCGGGACTTCCCAGACCCACCGTGTATACTACCTCCAACTGGACCCTCCTCACCGAACGCGTCGGATAACATCACGCGAACAATGCAAAGCCTGCTAGTGACGTTGTCGAAGGACACCAGTACGCTTTGAGAGTTGCTCAGACCTTCTACAAACTATTGACCGTAGCTGATCCTCAGCGCACCTGAACTTGCATCGGCCGTACCTCTCCCAGGCCCTGAAGGATTCTCCCGAGGATCCGCTGCGGCACAAGTATGGCGCGTCTGTGATGATTATCTACCGCTCGGCGTGGAGGATCCTCAACGCCTTACAATCTGCTTACCGGACCGCGTCGGGGATCACCACTAGGATCAGCCTTCCATGGTCGCATTCTCTGGCGTGCGCGGTAAGCGTCAAAAGGGTCTTCGTGTGAAGGATCCTCTGCTAAATTCTCGCAGATCCTGCTGTGTCTGATGATTACTCGAGCGCCTACTTCAGCTCTTGCGAATCCGGCGCTCGTGGAACTTGACAAGATCTGCGAGCTGTTTGAAGAGGCCGCGAACTCCAGCCAGATTGCTACCAACAACATCGTATGTTGGTCTTATAAACTCGTCAACTCCCCGTTCACTGACGCCATTGCTCAGCATGTGCTGAGGAAGCTGCGAAAGCAGGCGCACGCGGCTATTACCAAAGTCATGGCCGAGGATGCAGCGCTCGTCAATTCAGAGCTCGACCGCCTTGGCGGACGCACTCAGCTCATTCGCACCGTCGGAGAGCGTCGCTTGGTCTACTGTTCTGCCGTTCGCTTCGGCAATTACGAGCTCTTAACCCGCCAAAAGGAGATGTCCGTCTTCGAGACGCAGCCGAATCCGAACGGCTACGTTCAGGGTTTCGTGAGCCGGGATCAGCGCACGGACGACCCACTCCCTAACCCGCCTCCGTATGACACGGACGAGTTCAACTTCTACTTCTCGGGTGGCCAGGCCCAGCCACCGCCGCCTGGTCAAGTCCAGCAACAACACGCTCCTGGGGCCTCTGCGCAGATGCCGAGTGGACACAATATAGACTGGATACAGAGCTTCCTGGAGTCGACGGCGGCTCCTCCGCAGTCACAGACACAGGTGCAGGCGGCGACAGAGCCTGTGCCTACGTCCGCAGAGATGGATGCAACTTGGCAGGCTTTAGTCGCGCAGCTTGGTATCTGAGATGTGTGCATGAGAGACGCCGCAGTCTCTTCGTAGCGTGGATTGTATGACTAGTAGGTAATTCGCAGTCGTTTGGGTATGCCCCCACGGTGCTCAATTGCTCCCAGCAGTGGTTGTAGGCTTCGCATGCAGGCCGTCAGTGGTCGCAGCAGTCGCTGGCTACCTTCTTGGCGCACTTCTTACACGACACGCACATCGGTACAGCCCCGTGAGCTAACTGCGGTTCGTGGACGCCTGTTGGGCACGAGATCTGCGCGAAGGCTGGAGTCCACTGTGATGACTGCCCCCTTTTTGGCTGCATATATTGGTTTGCGAAGACATGTACTCGTTGTATTGTAGGTGTCCGTCGAATGTGTTGACGTGGCCATGGTGTGAGTTGTTGAGATGCCCGAGAAACAATTGGAAGGATGCCGTACATACTGGGAGATCGAGGACACCGCTTTTCTCGGGATCTGCTCCAGATTGCGACTTGCTGAGTCAAGGTTCTGTCTGTTCGTTTCATCAGTGATCTAGTTCGCTTAAACACAGACCCAGACGACGATACGCGCCCAGCTGACAAACCTTGTGCTTTAAGGACTACTCCTTTTGATGGCGAGAGCACTACTTTATTTACGTCCTGAACGGTGACGTCCCTAATCCCCTCCTCCCCTCCTGCTTTTCTTTCCCCACCGCCGACGCACCTACACATCACCTGATGCCACCAGCAAAATCTTCAGACAAGAGCTCCCCTGAGTCCGATACGCCGAAGCAGAGAAAGAGACCTGGACGGGTACCTGTATCGTGCGCGGAGTGCCGGAGGTGGGTCCGCCTCTCTGCCCAATCATGGGGTGAGCGAGAGTGCTCATGTTTCTTCGGAGTGAAGATTGAAGTTGCGTTGTGACCGCAAGGTGAGATTTTACGGCACATCCTCGCCTCCTCGGTACCGCTCTACGCACCTTCGTCTCCCCATCCAATGTTCGAATTCCATGTCGTGCACTGTGTCTGGAGCGCGTGACTGACTAGATGATCTTATCAGGTTCCCTGCGAGACCTGTACTAAGAGAGGATGCGCGGCTTTGTGTCCTGATGGTACGGCAATATCCTGCATTGCGGTGGAATGTGGCTGTAACGATGATCTCCGTGGCGGCGCGTAGGATCCTTAATCACCGGTGGTAAAGGTACAAGGTATGTACACTCTCTCATGCACCTTGCTCTGAAATGAAAGGACGTGCGACGCAGACAAGCAGTGGCGGATGTCGAGGATCTCAAGAAGAAGATTGACACACTTCAAACACGCTCGAATGCCCTTGAGACTGCGCTCAAGACTCTGCAAGCAGCTGTCTCTGACGAACCTCATCCGCTCCTCCTGCAAGATGACGCCTGTCCCCTATCTATGTTTTATTCTTCATCGTCGCCTGCAGACTCCCCGACGAATCATAGTAGCGATTCGCAGCAGACCTTGGAGGAGGATGTACTAGATGTCTTTGGTATGCCCATTTGATTGTTGGAGGTGTCGTCATGTATTCATCTCACGCAGGGACCCTCACCCTTGGTTCGCGTGGAGAGACGCGTTTTTTCGGCCAGACATCCCGTTCCGAGGTGCGTGCATGCACATGTGTGGATCTCATCCGGTGTTAACTAGTCAACCTTCGCAGTACCTTATCCATGTGAGTTGTTTAGGAACTTCCATGCTGAAGTGTTTCCAACCATGATCAGGCTCCTGAACGACTCACGGCAAACGAGAACATTAAGTATCCTCGGCTCTCAAAAGAACTCGTTGATGAGGCGAACAAGGAGCTCGACGTCCCTTGTCGGAGTCGAGAAATAGGCATTGAGATGATGAAGCTCCTCCCTCCGCTATCCCAGGCATGCCAGATGTGCGAGACATTTCTTGAGTACGGAAAATACGTGTAGGTGTACAACCATCCTGCTCCATCCTGCTGGTCTCCGGCTGATACTGTTCCAGTTGGTACCCTTTACCTCGCAAATACATCTTCGACGACATCGTCTCGCTTGTGTATTCCAGTTGGAAGGACTCGTCAGAGTGCAACGTCGGCTCAACACACCTGATGGCGTTGATGTGGATGATTTATGCGCTAGCGACCCTCTACGACTTGAAAACCCCACCGTACGCTGTTGAAGCCCACGAGTACTATCTCCTTTCCCGGCTATCGCTGCGATTTGCTCCTCCAGCCCATGACACCACTCTTACCGCCATCCAGACTATGGTATGACTTATTCACATATAGGAGTTGGTGTCGTGCTCACCCCCTTCCATAGATTTACATGGCTCAATATCTCGAGATGAGTGATTGCGAGCCTGCGCACACCCAGTCTCACAAGGCGTGGATGGCTATAGGCCACGCCGTAAAGATGGGACACAGTGTATGTCCCTTCTCTCGCTTCTGCAGAACATAACAGTGATTTTACTTGTCGTAGATCGGTCTGCGTGAGTGTTCGATTCGGGAGGGCAAGCCGAGCTCCAATTGACTTTCCATCAGACATGAATGGTAGCCGATGGCGGCTCGCCGATGAAGCTGCGTTACAACGGAACCGAGTCTTCTGGCAATTGTTCTTCCAAGACACATGGATTGTGAGTACGCGAAATCGGCTTAAAGAGAGCTGATCTCATACGAACGGTTGCAGAGCTTCGGCTTCGGAAGACCGCCGACTATCAACATGGCGTTCGTCGACTGTGAGATGCCCATGGAGCCGGAGGTGTTTTCACAGGAGCAGGACAAGCGAGAAATCGGATGTAAGTGTCCTATGTGTCCTTTTCATCCCCTTGCTCGTTTCATCGCTTACTGATACTGTACTATAGTCCATGTGTGGACGTGGCAATACACGAAGCTGCTCCATTCTATCATGACGACCGCATTCGCTGCGAAGTCTCCCTGCTATTCAAAGGTCATGGAGCTTGATCGTAGGGTTCGCGACTTTCCCATCCCTGCATCGCTTCGCGTGCAGTGTGGGGCGGTGGAGGACCCTCCACCAACCACTGCAGTGATCGTACAGCGGTTACTTGGAACGTTGCTCAAGGAGACCAGTAAGCAACCATGATGCTTCGACGATGCGTGTTGCTGAGACGCGCGACCTGTAGCTCTGTTGAACCTGCACCGACCGTTCTTCTCCCAAGCATTGAACGACATGCCACAGGATCCTTTGAGGCACCGCTACGGTCCTTCCGTTATGGCGATCTATCGGTCTGCCTGGCGGATTTTTGCCGGCGCAAGGTGTTCATTCAAGTCCGCCCCTGCCCTCGCCGCTCGTATGGGTATGCTGTGGTCGTACGCGTTGGCTGGCAGCGTAGGTGTTCCATCGTCCCGTCGTTCTGTCCCGATCTCAATCCTGAACGGCGATAGATTGTGATGTGTCTGGTTGTGGTCCGCGCGCCAACGACGACTCTGGCGAAGTCCTCGTTGACGGAGCTCGACAAGGTCTGTGAGCTGTTCGAGGATGCCGCAAGCCAGAGTCAGATCGCGTCAAACAACTTGGTACGGTGCTTTGCCGCTCCGAGTTGCTCCCGTTGTAATTTCTCATACCACACCTAGAACGTGATGCGGAAACTGCAGAAGCAAGCGCACGATGCTGTCAACAAAGTGCACGCAGCTGAAGATACCGCGCGGATCCACACGGAGCTCGATCGTCTCGGGGGCAAAACGCACCTGATCTGCCCCACGGCGGAAAGGCCCAAGGATCCTGCATGTGATGAATCGTATGCCCGCCTTCCGGAGACGAACGGATCTGGTCCTGCTCGAACAAGTGCTGGGGCGGCGGCCTCGAGGTCTGCGTCTACGTCGACGGCTGGTCCACAGGCCCCGACGTCGACCGTCACGGCGCTGGAGCCGGTGGTGCAGCCGGACATGATCCACCCGACGATCATGCAGGACATGCGGGCGTTCGACTTGGATGGGATCCCGATGGGGGGCGTGCAGTTCAACATGGACTTTCCGCCGACGGCGTTCGACCCGCGGCAGGCGGTGGACTTTTCGGCGTTCCCGGAGCTGGACTTTACGGCGGGGCTTGCGGCTCCGGGGGTGGGGGTCGGTGTGAATGGGATAGGGAGTAGCGGATCGGGGCCGAGCCCGGAGGATATGTGGGCACTGTCGGGACCTGTGGGAATGAACGTGGACGGGGTGGACGGGGTGGACAGGGCGAACGGGGCGAACGACAAAGCGCCGAGCTCGATAGGGGGTATGGACCTGGGCGCGAACGGACCGCCGGTGTTGGACGCGACATGGCAGGCTTTGGTGGAGCAGCTTGGGTTTTGATGTCGAACTGTAGGTGGGAGTAGCGGTCGATTGTGTGCTAGACGTCTTTGTGTTTATACTGGCTGTGGTGTCGTTTTGTATGTTAGCCACAGGTATTGGTAGCACAGCTACTCTACTTTGGATGGATTGGGAGACGCGACGCACGTGGGGAGTGACGTAGCGCGAAGGCGGGTGTGGGCGGAGTGAGCTGTCGACTGCTGGCGTCAGCCACTGCTCGAGCACGCCGCTGCCTGCAGCCCCTGTACACCTCTCTGTCTCCCGCCCTTGTATCTCTACCACGTTCTCGCACGCTGTCTCACGGTCGCAATGGCACGCACGGGCTACATCCCCCAGCACGCGCTCGACAACCTCAAGAAGTACTCCTACAAGGGCGTCGACAAGTCCGTCATCGTCTCCTCCCATTCTTGCATCTACTCTTCCATGCTCACCCGCTCTCCTAAAGGTCGCTCATCTCGCGATACGTGCTTCAGCCCTTTTGGAACTGGTTTGTTGCCCTATGGCCCACCTCCGTCGCCCCCAATACCGTACGCACCTTCGCTTCGTATTCTTCATCGTAGCTCGGCTTAGACGTCACTTGGGCACCCCTCAAGATCACGCTCACCGGCCTCAGTCTCGTTCTCATCAACTTTGCGACCTTGATCTACTATGACCCCAAGTTCCTGTGCGAGAAGGAGGGTGTGAATGATCCCCCGCATTGGGTATACTTCACGTATGTCCCCCTCGCCTCCTAGTGTGTTCCACCGAGACCGACCCCGACTTGATAGATGGGCTGCGGGCCTGTTCTTGTATCAGAGCCTGGACGCCATCGACGGCAAGCAAGCGCGTCGAACGGGGATGGCTGGGCCGCTTGGCGAGATGTTTGACCATGGCTGCGATGCGCTGAACACTACGGTATGCGGCTCCACGCCTTGTATGATTTACGCCTTGCGCTGAGCACAAGCGTGTAGCTTGAGGTCATCCTCTGCGCTCGTGCCCTCAACCTCGGCCGCTCCTGGTGGACAGTTGCGTCCCAGGTCGCGACGCTCGCCAACTTCTACCTCACCACCTGGGAGGAGTACCATACCGGTGCGTTCTTCTGTAGCATACTTCTCAGTGCAACCCAACCAATGCGTCTATCACAGGCCAGCTGTTCCTTGGCTTCTTCTCTGGCCCTGTGGAGGGCATCCTCTCCATCGTCGCTATGTATATTGTCACTGGTTTCGTCGGTCAGTATCCACCACACCATTGTGCACGTATAGCTCTGACATGCTACTCTCAACCAGGCCCCGAGTTTTGGGATCGTGACTTCCTCGCAACCACCCACCTGGATAGATATCCCATCGTCCTCCGATACGTCCCCCGGATCGGCCTCAATGACGCCTTCATGGCCCTCGGCGGCATCGTCCTCGCCTACAACATCGTCACGAGCTACTACAACGTCTACAAGGCGCGCGTCGCGAGCGACCAGGGCCCGTTCCTCCCCCTGCTCCTCCTCCTGCCATTCCCGATCTCGGTCGCGATCGAGGTGTTCTGGCTGAGCTCCCCGAAGCTCGAGGAGTCGATGATCCTGCACTCGACGCTGTTCGTGCCGTTCCTGTGCGCGTGGGGGCTGCAATTTGCGCACCAGGTGTCGCGGATCATACTCGCCCACGTGACGAAGATGCCGTTCCCGTGGTGGGACGCGATGTGGATATGGAGCATCATCGGCGCGGTGGACGCGAACCTCCCCCTGTTCATCAACCGGTGCGTCTTATTGCCCTTGCTCTGTCGGGGTCTCTACGTCCCGAAGATCACTGACCTCTGTGTCTCTTTTGCTCTCGTGTAGCCCGCCGCTGATCCAGAGCACGCTGCCACGCACGGCACTGTTCGTGTACGTCACGCTCGCGGTGACGTTCATGTCGTACGCGCGGTTCTGCTACCTCGTCATCAACGACATCACGGAGTACCTCGGCATCGCGTGCTTCACGGTGCGCAAGAAGGACAAGGCGGGCGACTGGGTCGCCGCCGCGGACGTCAACGGCAAGAGACAGTGAGCAGGGGCATGCGGGTGGATGCTTGCCTGTGCCGAGACGGTATACGAATTGCGTATGGTAATGATCGTGACGTTGTTCATGCGCTTCATGACTGTGTGCATGACGAACGCCGGACAGATTAATCGAAGATTAGATGTGGACGACTTGGAATGGTGCTTCTGGTTGCTTTGAAGAGAAAAGTACTATCATTGCACGTATGCATACCCGAATGTGTAGACAAACACTACCTATCTCAATACAGTACTGCTTTTTGTTATTCTGCTCCCTTCACGGATGGCTCCCGTGAGAGCGAGGAGTCGAACCCCGATCTCCTTCTTCGACGAAGGTGTCGGAACCATCCAACAATTCTTGCCTCTCATCAAGCGAACGTCTTTTCCCCCAAGATCTTCTTGTAGGGACGCCATGCCCTAGTATACGGGCTTTTATTTTGCTCCCTTCTACCCTTCTACGAGGTGGCAAGCAGCGCATGCTGCCGGGGGGACCTTCACGGCGCCTAGATTAGATAACGAGAACAACGGGCGATCGAGTCAAGATGAGCAGTAGACGTCCAGAAATCTACACTCAAGATCCTCCATGCGCGTGAATGCTTCGCCAGACCCGTACTCTCTTCCGTCCGCTCTATCGATCGTACAGATCGTGTAACCTATCCCTCATTCCCCTCACTCTATCTGCACCACAGAACTCAGCGCGACAGACCCTACAGCCAGCAACACACGCGAGATACATGGCCAGCGAAGCCCCGGGACAGACGGTCGAGGCGCTCACGGAGGAGGTCGCGGCGCAGAGCGCGCTCGTGAACGAGCTGCGGAAGCAGGGCGCGGACGGCGGCGCGGTCGAGGAGGCGAAGAAGAGGCTCGGAGAGCTGAAGAGGGCCCTGGCGCTGCTCCAGAATGCGAAAGCGGGCGGCGCGAAGGGCGAGAAGAGGAAGGAGCGGATGCTGCTCAAGACTCCGAAGGTGCGTCGGCTGCGTGCGTGCGAGGGGTGGGGCTTAAGCTCATCTCAAGGCTCTCTCTCTCCCCCTCTCTTCTCCCCGTGATGGTCGTCCTCGACGCGGATGCGGATGCACGGACGGACCCGCGGACTCGTTGTGCGACTCGCACGTAGGGCACGCGCGACTACGGCCCGGGCGAGATGTTCTGCAGGGAGCACGTCGAGCGGATCGTCAAGGACTGCTTCACGACGTTCGGCGGCTCGCAGCTCGACACGCCCGTGTTCGAGCGCAAGGAGGTCCTCGCGGGCAAGTACGGCGAGGACCAGAAGCTCATCTTCGACCTCATGGACCAGGGCGGCGAGCAGCTCGCGCTGCGCTACGACCACACCGTCCCCCTCGCGCGCTACCTCGCCATGGGCGGCGCGATCGCCACCCAGGCGAAGCTCTGGCAGGTCGGCAAGGTGTACAGGCGCGACAACCCGGTCATGAGTAAGGGCCGGATGCGCGAGTTCTCGCAGGCGGTGAGTGCTCGTCTGCCGTGGGTCTCCAGAGGGAATGGGTGGAACTGACGGTTGGGGGGGGGGTAGGACTTTGACATCGCTGGCACCTTCGACGTTATGATCCCCGACGCGGAGATCATCGGGTTGGTCTGCACTATCCTCGCGCGGCTGGACGTTGGCGAGTTCACCGTGAAGATGAACCACCGCAAAATCCTGGACGGCATTTTTGAGGTGTGCGGGGTGCCCCCAGAAAAGATCCGGCCGATCTCGTCGGCCGTCGACAAGCTCGACAAGGTACGCCTCGCTCTCCCACTCCCTCGCGATTGTATCGTAATGGAGATGCATAGATGCCGTGGGCAGACGTTAAAAAGGAGATGACGGACGAGAAAGGCCTGGACCCTGCAGTCGCAGACAAAATCGGCGAGTATGTCAAGCACAAAGGTACGTCCTACGATTGCTCCCTGTCGTACAGCCCCTTATATCGCTACCCACGTTCAGGTGGCCGCGAGCTGCTCGACACCCTCCGAGCCGACTCGGCCCTGATGGCCAACGCGAACGCCAAGGCCGGCATCGAGGAGATGAGCATCCTCTTTACCTACCTCACCGCGTACCGCGTGCTCGACAAGCTCTCCTTCGACCTCTCCCTCGCCCGCGGGCTCGACTACTACACCGGCATCATCTACGAGGCCATCGTCGAGGCCTCGGCGCCCCCCAGCTTCAAGGCCGCCAACGCCTTCGCGTCCTCCTCCGCCCAGCCATCCACCGCGAACGACGCCCCGCCCCCCGCACAGCAAAAACCGAAGAAGGAGAAGTTGAAGAAGGCCGCGGGAGCGGAGGAGGAGGAAGAGGAGATCGACGAGTCGCAGGTCGGGGTGGGCTCGATCGCCGCTGGGGGCCGGTACGACAACCTCGTGGGCTTGTTCACCGCCGCTGCTGCTGGGGAGGGCAAGAAGGCGGCGGGGCTACCGTGCGTGGGCGTGAGCATCGGCCTGGACCGCATCTTCGCGCTCGTGTGGCCGAAGTGGGTCGAGAAGGGGATGCGCAGCAAGGAGACGATGGCGTATGTCATGGCCGCGGGCGATGGGCTGCTCACGGAGCGAGTTGAGCTCGTGAGCGAGTTGCGGGAGGCGGGGATCAAGGTGCGTGCTCGCAGGCTAAGAACTATATAAATCAATACTCATCTCGACTTAGACCGATTTCTTCTTCAAGGCGAAACCCAAGCTCCCCGCTCAGTTTGCCGCCGGCGAGAAGGACGAGGTGCCGTTCGCAATCATCCTCGGTGGAGACGAGCTCAAAGAGGGCCTCGTCACTGTCAAGGAGCAGAAGTGGGAGTTTGTTGACGGCAAGAAGCTCAAGGTCGAGTCGACAGACAAGGGCACGAAGGTCAAGCGCGCAGAGCTCATCCAGTGGATCAAGGACACTCCCGTATACAAAGAGTGGTCGTCTGGGAAGCTCATCGCATGAACGGCGCAGGACTTCGTGACGTTGTTGGCGGTAGTATATCTGCTCATGTCCAAACATAGATTCATATTGCATCAGGTGACTTGGTCTATCGCCGGGCATAGAATGTAGTTCGTTGCGATGAGCGTACATTCTTGACTTCCAGTGCATCTACAATCGTGCGTAATAAGTTACTCGTCGTCGGAGCCTGAGCCAGACCCGTCCTCATCATCATCATCATCTACAACATCTGTGAGCACGCGTGAGCAACAACGAAATGGAAATCTCTCACCATTCGCAACATCGCTCTGCGAGATGCTATTCTGAGCCTGGTGCTTCCTGAACAGCTGACGGGTCGCCGCATCGTCATCCGGAACAAAGCTGATGGCAAGCTCGCCGTTCTTGTCCTTGATCCTTATACCGCTCTGAATACCTCGGGAATCCTAACATCTTGGAGATGAAGGACTTACTTGGGATCCGCGCCCGCTTCCAACAGACTCGAGACGACTTCCGCGCGAAGCTCTGCATCCTCTATCCGTACTGCGAGATGGAGAGGCGTTGCTTTTTCGATGCGGTTCTGGATGTCGACATCACAACCCTCGTACTCGAGGAGGTGCTCGAGGATGTCAAGGTGGCCGTTCGAGGCACTGCAACCACCCCGACATGTTAGATCGGAAGGGCGAGAGTTATGCACACACGGAACTCGACATACGTACGCGTAGTGAAGAGCTGTAGATCCCGGAAGGTTGAAGGTTAGATACAATTCGCTAACGATCGCCGTTCGGATGGACGAGGGTCCGCATACCGGTGTTCCCTAGCCTGTACAAAACACGACAAATGAGCTGACTTCTAAGCAACAATATCGTGGCACGCACCCGTCCTGTGCGTTTATGTCAAAGCTACCCTGCTCGAACACCTCGAGAAGCATGTCCTCATTATCGGACCGCGCAGCAGCAAGGAGCCTCTCATCTATCCAAAACACCGGTGAGGAGGCTGCGCGGATGGTTGAACAGGGTTGAGAATCGGACATACTGTTGCTTGCACCATCAGAGGCCATCGTGAACGACTGAGGACAGAAAAAGGGATATATGAAGTGCGGGGAGCTACGGCTAGATCGTTGAGTTTACATTGACGAAGAGATCTCGACCGACATGATTATGAGATTAGCACCCGTGGGAAAGCGGTCCACGCAAGCCTACATCTGCATCCCCGGCTCTCGTAGGCTTCACGCATTCTCGGTTTTCATATAGATATGTTGGCAATGTACTCTACAGTCCGGGGAGCAATACTGATTAGCAGGATGACCATGACCTCCTCTGATGTACTGGTTAGCATCCATGAGAACCTCCTGCCTGCCGTAGATCACAGCCTTCACCAACACTCGGCTACGCCTTTCTGCTCTTTCCTATGACGTCTCTGCGCAAGTCCCTAGAGGAGATTCACCTCTTGAGATACTCTTTGCTTCCCGGGGAACTGCTCGAATTCACGGATCAAGCAGCACTCTGGAATGAGCTCCTGGACGCGTACGCTCTCGATCCTGACTGCGAGATTGGCTGCGAGCCTCAAGGCGCGCACTTCCGAGTGAAGCTGGAGGCCTCCTCGGACGTCTGGTTCGACGTCGAATTACCCACGGACTACTGGACAGCAGAGGGCAAAGGGCAGCCTAGGCTCTCGGCGCAAGGCGATAACCTCGGTCGCGCGCAGCAGGAACGATGGCAGGAGATCGTCGCGGACGCAGCCACTACTGTGCGGGTACAGGACAGCGAGTGCGTCCATCAGGTGCGGTTGGGGACAGCGTATATTCACCGTCACCATTATGTATCAAAGGTACCCCTTGTATGAGATGATATCATCCCATCTCCTGCCCCAATTGCACATCGACCTGGAGGAGCAAGCCAACGCCACCGCGGCGAAGGCCACGGAGGCGTCAGCGTCTTCCGGAGGACCCTCACCCTCGCCCCGCTACCATGCGCTCTTCGTCTCTCACCACCTGAAGTCGCCGCAAAAACGCCGCGCCCTCTCACAGTGGAGTCACGAATTATCCCTTGTGGGCTTTGCGAAAGTCGGATACCCCGGAGTGATCTACTGCGAAGGGGCACAGGAGGACGTCGAAGACTTTGTCGAGCGTGTCAAGAGCATGCAGTGGCTTGCGCTCAGGCTGCGGTTCATTGAGTCAGCCCCACCAACGGATGAATCGCAGAAGCAGGACAGCCATCATGGTAGATGGTCAGAGTTTGAAAAAGTGGGAGAGGTGGTGGAGGAGATGCGGAGACTTGGCAGAGAACAGTTCGTTGTGGAGATGGGCCTGGGCAGTGCAGGAAACGCAAGACCCAGCAAGTAACAGGCCCTGATACCGGCAAGGAAAGGCACACGCGACACAGTCGGTAGTACTGGTCTCGTTGCCAATAATACGTGCAACGAAAACGCGATACATACAGGAAAACTGACAGCAACATATCACACCCAACAGACGAGAACGTACGACATGATCAGCGACAAGCCACAGACAGGAGGCATTTTCATAGACCGAGGCCGGCGGCGACGTCGGTCTCGCGCAGCATCATACATTATATAGATCCACCGTTCCTGATTCAGGTCGGGGTCGGACCATGCATGCTTCAGTAGCGGCGGTCTTCGTAGCGAGGGCGATCGTAGTCACGACCACCACCGCCGTACCCACCACGGTCATAGTCGCGACCACCGCCGCCACCACCGCTGTAGCCACCACGCTCATAGTCACGGCCGCCACGATAGTCGTCCTCGTATCGAGGCCGGCGGCGGACCTCGTCGTGACCGCCACCTCCGCGGGAATAGCGGCTGTCGTACGGGCGAGGGTCGTAAGGGCGCTCGTCTAACAATCGCGTAAGAACGTCAGCAGAAAATGATGTATCATAAGAAGCTCACTTTCATGGCGCTTCGGTGGTCCGTAGTAGCGGCCAGGGGTTGGAGTTCGAGCACGGCCACGTCGCGCCTGTTGGATCTAGGGTGAGGATGCCGTACAGGCCGGGCAGACCACAGCTGCACGAACCCTTTCAACTGAAATGGCCTTGCCCATGAGGTCAGCACCATTCATCGCAGTGATGGCGGCGTCTGCCTCTTCAACGCTCTCCATCGTAACAAACCCAAAGCCGCGGGACTCGCGGGTGTGAGGATCATACATCACCTGAGCCTTCTGGACCTGCATCGCCCTGCATGAGCGACGCCCGTGAAACGTGTTGACCGACAATAATTCTACTCACCCGCCCACACTTCGCGAAGGCAGCTTCGAGGTCACGCGTGTCCACCTTGTGGCTCAAACCAGATACATGCAAATTGTTTCCGGGATTATTGCCACCGTCTCCCCTGAACATGATATGTCATGAACATCACAGATCCGCACAGCAATGAACAGCTACACACCTATCAATCTTGCGCCCGGGGCTCCTGCTCCTGCTTGACCGGCGAGGAGGAGGGTCGCCCCGAGAAGGAGAGCGTCCACCGTTGTTCCAGGATTGCTCATCATTCGGACCACCATTGGACATAGGCGCGTCGTTGGTGGGGATGCTGATGCCGCCGCCGTTGCTGGGCGGAGCCATATCTTGGGATTGCCAGGCTGAAGACAGAGACAGACGGGGAAGGAAGGTGGAAACGGAAGTCAGGTCTTGTTACTGGACGTCGGGGACTGGCATGCTGGAGGAAGGACGGGGCCCGGGAAAGAGAAGACGGCACACCACCAGAAGCATTAGACATGCTGCCAAGGGGCGCACAGGCTCCGCGGCCGGGACGAAGCGAGCGTGAAGACGGGGAGCTGAAGCTGCACGGAAGCGAACCGAAAGGCGCGTCGATGTCGACACTGGCACGGACGCTGCTCGTCGAAGTATGAAGGCCTTCAGCCAACAGGCGACAGAAGCGGCGGAAAACGGAACATAGACACTCGCGCCGGTCAAGGAGGCGTCAGCTGTGGGCTGAAGACTGCTGGTGCTATGGCGGACCACATAGCTGGCGCGGAGCGTTCCCACTGGTGGGTCGGTATGCCGGACAGGGAGCAAAAATTGACAGGACGGACAGAAAACTCGTTGTCGCGGCGGTGGCGGCGGATGCTGAAGACGTACCGTCATCCATTGTTGCTAAGCTGGGGGCGGGAGAGGACTTGGACGGGCGAGAGGGCGGTTGGGTGAGAACCATCCCGCGCCAGCATTCATTTAAGAATCCTCCCAGTGGGGGCAAACACGACCACACTCCCCCGGGCGTCCCGCCCGCCAATTTCTCTCGTCCGCCCGTCTTCCTCGTCGCAAGTTCGTGGTCCCGGGGCAGGGACGTTTGTTGTGTATAAAGTCAAGTGCCATTGGCGATGAATATATGCGCGTGTGCAGGACTTAACGCGCCCAGGACGGAGGGCCGAGAGACGGGGGCGAGTCGGACTGGACCGGCTGGCGTGATGAATCGAGCCTCGGCAGAGTCGCGCCCGGTCGTGCCCTGACATCCTCGCCTTTTCTTCCGTCACGACCACATCCTCGCCGCCCTCCTCTCCATCCTCCAACCTTGCACCTCGACCATGTTGCGTGCACAGCTCGCGTCCACTCTCCTCCGCGCCCGCCCTGCCGCGACCCGCGTCGCCCCGGTCTTCGCCCGCCCCTCGTCCAGCGCACACGGCCAAGAGACGTTCGAGTCCTTCACGGAGCGCTACGTCAACTTCTTCCAGTCCGCCCAGGATCTCTTCGAGGTTCAGCGCGGTCTTAACAACTGTTTCGCGCACGACCTCGTTCCTGCCCCCGCTGTCATCGAGGCTGCCGTACGCGCCGCCCGCCGTGTCAACGATTACGCGACAGCCGTCCGCGTGTTTGAGGGTATCAAGGAGAAGGTCGAGAACAAGCAACAGTACCAGGCGTACCTCGACGAGCTCAAGCCTCTCCGCGAGGAGCTTGGTACGTTCTTCCTCGTACTGTATGGCGCATCTCTTGTCTAATAGGGCGTCAAAATAGGAATCAACATTAGGGAGGAGCTTTACTCGTCGTGAGGCCGTATTGTGTTAGCACTTAGAGTATGTCTATCTACTTCTTCTTGCCATCGAGCACGCGTAACGTGTACGCAATCTACAGTATCTCGTCCAAACCAAACTCACTCTACCACTCGCTGGATGGATATCCACGTGCTGAAATAATGTTTGCTTTACTACATGGTCCGAAAGCTTGTCGAAACGTCAGCAAGGACGTCGCGTGTAGTCACCAGCCGTGGTTCAAAGCTAGGAATTCGGAAGAATCGTTAAGATGTCGTTCACATGGCACTTGCTCCTTCTACGTGCACAGGGCGGCAAAGGCATGGAGGTTTGTCGTACGCACAGTTCATTCTACGCATTCGTGTTGCAAGGAAAGATCTCGTTCATCTGCACATGCAGCGCACTACATTGTAATGACAGGATTTGTGATTACTATGGCTATTTGCCGGCAGGGAGCCTGCACAGGTACATGTACACATCGGGGTCCTGGAGGAGGTGGTTGGATTTATTGGGAGTTGCAGATGAGCTGAGGAGATAATGCGAATAAGGAGCAATAAAGAAAGTATGCGTGCGTAAATTGACAGTGCAATATGATAGTCCTTGTTGTATGCTTGCTGAGCGATCTTGCTGTTGGTAATGTACGATGGATCTATGTCGTGGCAAGGTGTAAAGCGAATGGTGAATGAACGTTGGCAGAGGGATGCGTCCGCAACGGCGGCACTGCAAAAAGAATGTGATGCATGGGAGGGATTGCGGTGGTACAGATACGGCTTGAATATATGTCAGATGATATGTTGCAGCGTAGAACAAGATTCAGTAGCCGTAATATGCGCGCTGTAGAGAGATATGTATGATTAGAACAAAAACACCTCGGTGTCGACCTAGTGTGGACGTACCATTCGGTCACTGGTAGAATTATTGTCAGTTCAGGGTCAATCACTAGTTCTTTGTATGATACGTACAACAACCAGATGACCTTCGAACCAGTTTTGCAGCCACGGAGCGTAACGATATGTCCACGGATAGAATCGTAAAGGAGAGCCCGCTGGTCCTTGTCGGCCTGTCATATGCGTGAGCTAGAGTCCACGCAATATTGGTACTACCAGCAGGGACGTACGTTGGGTAAGACGCTTGCAATGAGCTGGCTCCCGGTGACGGATAGAGCGAGATCTACAACCGTCGCCCTGCGAGCACTGTACGATAGACGTGAGGGGAGTTCAACCTTCGACCTAGTCGGGCATACCTCTTCGCTGGTTCACACATCCGCTTGATGATTCTGTCCAGAGTGTCTTTGCCGCCCTCCTTCAAGGCTTTGGTGATGGACTTGATGCCTTGCTCGTTGGTAGCATATTCAAGGAGACCGCCTATGAGGTGCTCCAATGCCAGTTCACGGTGACGCTGAGAGCCATGTTCGAGAACTAGTATTATTATCAGTAAGCGCAGGATGTGTCAGAAAATATGCTCATATATACTGTGCTGAATGCAGTACGAGCCCCATTGGCTCTTTGCGACTTCGCCGAATACAACGGGGCCCTGGTTCAGGAGCTCATCGACTATGCCGTCCTTCGCGGACTCCTCCAGATTTTCGAATGCATGCTAGGTTGGCGTGAGCCCCAGCATTCATAGTAAACAGTACGCCAGACTTACCTGCACAACGAGCGAGCCGGTCTCATGACAGGCCAGAGATGCCCATTTGCCCTTGAGAGACCTGTTGACGCTGAACGTGAAGCGGCGAAGACTGTCAGCGGAATATTACCAGCCAGGGCAAGTCAAACTCACTACGCAAAGATAGGTGGTGCTGGAGGTGTCCAAGAAAGTTCCATGATCTAACAGGTTCATTAGTCGCTTTACGCGCTAGATAGTGCCATTGCGCAGGTAGGTACCTTGCTCCACACATGCGACGCATGCTTGTTCACGAGCGTTTGTGCCGGATCGCCGAGGAGAAGCTCTGAAACAATGAGAAGCCGTACATCTTCCTCGCAATCCAAGGCCTTTTGGAGGACATGGCAGCCGTAACAATTGGTAGCCAGATCAACCACACGACCGCTAGAGAGCGCGGTGAGGCCAAATAAACTTTTGCCCAGACACAAATGACTTACCGCATACATGCGACGATCTTGCGCCTTTCCTCGACGGAAGACGTCGCTTCGAGACATCTCTGCACAGCCCAATTGCCAAACCTACAACAGTCATTGAGAGATCATGATAGACTCGAACATGGAACGATACACACCTGTGCGCCATCATGTCGAAGCCCCTCGCACAGATGGCATCCACAATCTTCGCTCTTTCATCGGAGTCGGCCACCTTCAGCTTCTGTTGAAGAAATATGGAAGCCTGCTGGTCCGAAGATTTGATGATGCGTGCCACGAACAAGTCGTAAGGCGGAGTGGAAGAGGGATGCAGAAGAGACAGGAAGTTGATGGGCTGTGAGTATGTCGCTTTCAGTAAGAATGTGGTACGATTATGATTCGAGATAAGATGACTCGCCTCATGGACCTGAGAAGAAGCTTGACGGTGAGGCGGCCCTGACTGCGCTTGGGTGGAGCGGAATGCCGTCTCAGTCGCGTGGAACTGCGCTCCCCGGTCGATGATATCGTCGGCTTTGAGCCAGTCGGAAGAGTTGCGCAGACGTTGCCCACCCCAAGAGAGAGGCGGGAGTGTGGGGGGAAGAACGTTAGTCTCCAATTGCCGGCGTTCGGCCTGCACTTGGGATAGCGGCAGAGGCTGCCCACGAGAGACCGAGTGCGGGGAGCTTTCAGGAAAAGGCTCGAATGTCTGAAAGTAGCCTGCTTCCGAGTTGTAAGCTTGAGGGTTGGCCCAGATCGAAGCCTGCGTCCCTTGGGCTATCTCTGGACCGCGGTAGCCGCCCTCGAACATCAGCAAGTTGTTCTCGGGAGGGCGAAGGACAGCATTGAAATCGAACGTAGGGGGTAACTTCTGATCAAACGTTTTGGCAGGGGACATGTCAGTCGGGGTGAGAAGAGCAGAAGTCGTAGAGATGGGTGATAAATCGGGCGAGGTAGGGGAATGGACGAGATCGCTCCTGATCCTGGGTGGCGGCACCGCGGGACCCGGCGAGTTGAGGTTCAGTGAGCGCAGTAGCTGTTCAACGTGCTAGGATGGTGATGAGAGTCCATGTATGCGCATATGTCGAGCATGTGGAGTACTCACAAGCTCGTCGAAGGTCGGAGAGAGCTTTTTGCGCCCGTCTCCGATGGCGCCAACATCGCGGCGACGCTGTCCGTCCTGGCTCATCGGAAGGCCGAATACGTCTTGACCGTGATTAGGAGCGGGGAACGAGGACGACCGCTGCGGTGTCGGACGGGAGAGACCTGTTCCGGTGAGGCCATGGAGATTGGCTCGAGTGAACGAGTCGATGGCTTTTGTCCAGGCGGTGTCGGAAGGCTGAGGCTGAGGCGCCCATATGGAGGACGCAGAGGACCTGGAAGATGGGAGAGTGTCGAAGAAAGGAGCGAATGACTGCGAAGTGGTGGTCTGATCCATGTCGGCGGCGAGAGCGTAAGGGTGGGGATGGAGAGAGAATGTGAACAAGCGATTCGCAGGATTTATACGGAGGCGGGGCGGACCAAGAGCCGGATGACGAACTACTTCTTCGCGAGGGCGCGCTGCCCGGTATGGGTGTGCGAACGCCATATCAAGCGTTTTCTGAGTGTTCCCACGCTGCGCTGTCAAACCAGGCGAGGGACCCAACGCTGGCTGGAAAAGCCTCCCTCGATGGTCACATCAGCGTGATTAACTGCCCCAGAAAAGCCCCATCTTCTTCCCGAGGTTCCCTACACGCCGCCGCTGCCACGCCGCTGGCCTCTCCTGCCGCGAATCATTCCTCGCTCATTGGCAACAGTCGTTTCGCGCATCAGTAGCCCCGTCGCTGCTTCACAGCGTGGCCCATTCACCTCAGTTGTTGCGCTGAGGCAGGGTGGCGTCGAACCATGCTACGCCAGAACGGCGCGAGTGCCGTCTCCGCGTCAACATGACTTGGACATGGCGTGACCTATCACGACCTTGTTGAGAAGAGAGCAACGACGATTATGGCAGGAAGAACTGACCAGACGTGTCGGACGTTGACTTGTGACAGCAACGACACCAACTCGTGTGGAAGCGGTGGGGCATCCGACAGGAGCGGTCTGGGCTCGCATTTGGCACGAGACATGACAATCAGTATTCCTCCTTGCGAGCCAGCTGCGTTGACGAATGCAACTGCGATCTTGCGACTTGTTCCCTGCTGGTCTAGTACGAAAATCGTTCTGTCTGCAACGTCCACACAGCAGAGACGTCCGCGGATGAACTCGTACCGGGATGTCACGAAGGGCCCGAAGACGGCACCCAACGATCGACGGGTTCATCTGGTCTTCACGTATTCCCCAAAGAGGAAGCCGCCTTCCTTGCTGTATGAAGTTTTCTAGAGGAAAACCACGCATTCTTTGATGCAAAGAGCGTTGTCCCGTCTCGATAGCCACTACCAAGTCCACTTCCTTTCCAAGGTAAGTGTTATTGGGGTGATTCGCGCGCAATTAAGATATAGAGAATATCCACGCACTTCAGCAGATAACAGCCGCTATCAGCGTGGATGAACGTACCATCTCGTCCGCCTTTGGCAGCGCCACAAAGGATTCTAGGACCGAAGTGACGCATGACCAGTCCTTCACATGTTCAACCGAAGACGCACGTCTAGATCCAGCCACAGAAGATGCCAGATTGCTTCCTTCTTCGCATATAGCATATGCACTATAACAATACATGATTACGATATCCCATGAGCTACATCCAACGTGAGTCTCGCCTGAACAGACCAAGCGATTATAAGCAGTACATGCGCAACATAGCAGACAATCAAATCACAGCACGCACAAGAGATCTAGCACACAGCGCAAAAACGAGGAGAGCGACTCTCTACTCTCCCCCTCCCGCAAGCTCGATGATGAGTCGACAGGCGACGTCCATGAAGACGAATGGTGACACGACCTCCTCATCGCGAAGATTGAAGTCTTTGATCGAGCGGCTCGACTCCGATGCCGTCTCGGACAGGTTGCAATCCGGATGCGCCATGTCAAACTTCCCCGCACCAGGCTCGAGCGACGCCTTGTACGTCTTCTTGTGGTGGAAGTCAACCAGATAGTTGATAGAGTCGACCATGTACAATTGGAGGTTCATCAGAACCTTAGGAGACAGACAGTTGAGTTTTCTCCGATGTGATGCATGTAGGGGGGTCACGCACCACCACATCCTGCACCCTGGCTCGCGTCTCGATGAAGTAGATCGCAGACGCCGCGCGAAGATCGACGTAGCCATCGTACTCCCTCGCGCGCTCAATCTTCGCTCGATCTGAGCCCCGCTTCTCCTTGAGGAGCGCGCTGGCACCTAATCCGCCGAGATCAGTCTTCTCCTTCCACTCCATGCCCAACGCCTTCAGCGTCCGGTAGATCTCCAGCATCACTTCCATCGGCGGTGACCGGCTCCGTATGCCGAAGTGCCATTTCGTTCGGTGCTGCTTCTTCTCCTTCGCTGGCCACGCCTTCTTCGCGGAGGCGTACGACTGGAGATGATGGGGTTCGGGGAGCTGTTCGGGGAGGGAAGAATTAAGGACCGCGAAATTGTTGCTCTCGGACTCGTTCTGTGGCGTCGAGAAATCGAGATCCTCGTCGTCTTCGTCATAGTCGTTGAATTCGGAATCGAAAGGGTTTTCTTCCAAGTCGGTTCCTCCAGGTGACACGGCATTGGGAGAGAGCGGATGCCGAGGCTGCAAGTTGACGTCGGTCTCAGGAGAGACAAAGATAGAAGTCCAACTTACGTCCATGACGGCCAACTTAGCATCTCGCTCCTGCTCCTCGTATTCCGCCACTATTTTGAAACTCAGCATGGCGATCGATTTCTGTGGTAGAAGACTTACGGTTCCGCCCCGCTCGGCGCTTGTCTCGTAAGAGCATATATGCCACTTTGACGGCGTTTCCTTGCGGGCCATCATCGCGCCGCAGGCACTCCCAGACGTCCTCCTTGTCCACTCCTTCCATACGAGAGGCCAGGTCATCTACGACCTCTTCCTCGATCCGTCCTAAACCTTCGATGAAATCGTACTCAAGGGCTTTCGGTGGGGCGACGAGGGACGAGAGCGTCCCAAGCACGGGACCTTGTTGCGGTAGTGGGCTGAGATATTTAGGGAGGTCGGTAGTGAAGAAAGGATGCTGCATGATCTCGGGGATAGTAATGCGCTTGACGGGGTCGACTGCCAGCATACCGTTGATGAGGCCCTTTGCCTCATGCGACAAGTATGACGGGAGGTGGTACACTCCCTCTGCGATACTATTAGAGCGCACGAAGAGAGGGGATGCGCTGAAGACTTACGGCTGATCTTCGTGAACAGCGTCTGCACGTCGTCGTCCTCGAAAGGCAACCGACCGCAGAGCATAACGTACAGAATAACGCCACAACTCCACACATCAATCTCAGGGCCAGTGTAGAGTCCGCCGCGAATAACTTCGGGTGCAGCATAGTTTGGACTACCGCAGCTCGTCTTGAGGAAGTCGCCGTCCTTGATCTCGTTCGACAGACCGAAGTCAGCGATCTTGACGTTCAGATCGTCGTCGAGCAGCACGTTCTCAGGCTTCAGGTCTCGATGGACGATCTTCAAGTGGTGGCTATACTCGATTCCGGATATTAGCTGCTGGAAGAACCGGCGTGCTTGTGGCTCGGACATTCGCCCATTCGCGACAATGTAGTTGAACAGCTCCCCGCCGGCATATTCAAGGACGATGATTATATCGGTAGGGGTAGAGATGACCTCGTACCTATATGAGAGATCAGCTCTGACGGAGTTTGCGAGAGGAGCGAAATGCGTACAGCTTAATGATGTGAGGGTGCCGGAGAGTGCGCATGTATTCGACCTCGCGCTGCACCCTGGTCTTGGTCCTATGCTTCGCAATGGCGTGTTTCGAAATGAACTTCATGGCAACCTTCTGACCGGTCACGGTATGTATGGCCACTACATACTACCCAGTCAGACAGGGCAGATCGCGAGAACGCACGGCTGCTTACTCTTTACCTTCCCGAACGTGCCCTCCGCTATTTCATCCACAACCGTGTACTCGCCCAGCTTGTATGCGGGGAACTTGTGTGGTTGATCGTCGGCCATGATGACGACAGGCGACTTCAAGCAGACGAGAGCTGGGGTACGTCGTGTGGGGGTTCTGAGAGGCCGGCGCCTGTGCCCCGGATCGCGTAAGGCCAGGTCTCCATGTAGCCTCCTGATAGAGTGTTGTGTCCTGTTTGCACTGTGGCGCCCACACTACCACTGCCACCGGCAGAACCTAGAGTCCCGGGTGAGCGAATTTACCCCTCCGTCAGGGCAATGCTAATACCTCTGAATACGACCATTCAGTCATTGCAGCTTCACCTTCAGTGGGGCCGATGTACAAGAGAACGTCTCTGTTCCGTACTCCCACGATTATCGATAGCCGGCGCACAGGAAAGATCTGTCGTTTTTGCGAAATCGGGCTTCAATATGTCCAGTCTGCACACTGTATCTATGCTCAGTATCTCACGTTGTCCACAGGCTTTACGATCTGTCGCCGCAGGATTGCAAGAATTTTTCGTCACTCAATATGTTAGGTACAGATGAGCAGGACGCCATCGTGTTCCTGGTCAAAATTGACAGGAGTAATTCATTTGGAGCGAATGCATCTCCGTCACTCCAATCATTGGCTACTAGGCACCATTCGCAAGTGGTTCAGAACCGGAGAACCTAGCTGCAGAGCGATTTAAAACCGCTAGCACCAAGCTCTATTTCCCTGCCGGCACGTTCTACACAAACGCCGGCCTTATTAGGTGCGTCCCATTTCGTAGTTCCACTCGCCTCTCGATAGAAGTCATGGCAAGTGGTAGCTGCTTGACGAAACCGGCAACAGAATATACTTTCACCGGCTTCGAGTTACGTCTGCACGAGGACAGGCACATATGCTTAAGCCCCAATAGCAACCGGTTCGGTGGATCGCGAGGGGCGTTCATACACCGTTTTGTTCCTCAGGCAGGCCCTTGCCTGTACTCATGGCTGCTCCGGAAATCTCACTTTGCAAATCAGACCATTTAGTCTACAGTATCTCGCCGCCTGTTACTACTGACAACGCGCACGATCCAATCCATAGTGTTGGTTTGGTCATCGTCTCCGGCGTATGCATACCAAACATACTATAACGCGCTTCTGCCTTCAATGCCACCCCAGCGTGGACGGCGGGGCTAGTTCGTAGTTTCAGTGTCTTCGGCGCCGTCAACGCAGCCCCTATCCTGGGAAGCCACTGACGGGGAGCGTTGCAAACCACTTGCCATCCTCTTGGTGGCACTTCCGCCGGCGGCTATCTTTCATTAGTCGAGAACGCTCGGAACAGCGAACTTTACCCTGGGACCCAGACTTGCTTAGCCACAACGTAATACTCACCTAACGACGATGTTTGCTTCCTTGAAAACTCCGGCACGAACGTCCACGTAAGAATGGGGGTGAGAGACCGATAGGGCAGAAGGATGTCATTTCAATCCGTTGAGGAAAGTACAGGTCATGAGAATGTATGTATGTCCCAAAACTACGAGAACAACCAAGTTTGGACAGCCATGAGGGCCGGGTTGTCCTCAACTCTACAGAGACGAAGCTCGCCTGGCACCCTGGGGTCCCCCCGACCTCATGACGAGGCCGCAGGGCAGGAAAGCCTGGAAGCGTCGATCTTCCACCACCGTAACAGACACTTCACGTAGGAGAACCAGTGAAGGGCCTTGACTTGGTACTGGGATGAGGACGGGCTCGAGAGACAACAGACAACATACCACGGAACACAAGCAAAACGGCGTTGTCGCGCTTACTTACTTGTGCACCAGATTGTACTTCTGGAGAGGTTGCACTTTACCAGAGACCCGAGAAAAGGGTTTGTTCGCTGGACCATATCCACCACACCAGCATCATCAACCGATAACACACAACCTGAGAGAAGACGATAGTAGGAGAGGGACAACAGCGACGACTGGCACAGCACCGGGAGCAGAAAACTTATGCGCAATATGGCTCCCACGGTTGTGATGTCGCCTTCTTGGGGTGCACTACTAGACGCCTTTGTCAACGCCGGTACCCAAGCACTTTCCACTGGTATCAACTGCCGAGCACACACGGCGAGCAGCGACTCTTCAGCGTAACTTTTAGGGCCCAATAATTGAAGTGACGCTAACAAACCTTGTTAGAGAGCTTACACCCGTCCGACAAACGGACACTTTGAAGTATCCGTATACCCTGCCCCGGCCAAGCTGGCAAGATATCAGTTTGGATGTGAATTGACGTCGTTTGGCGCCACGACACAAGAAACTCCCTCGAACACCAGGAACTATTGTCGGCAGCCTCGCCAACCACTCCAATGCCTCGCAAGTGCGGCCAGCTCTTGATGGCCTTTCACCCAACCAGCTCTGTCTCAACGGAGTTAGCGGTCGCCAATGGCGGCGTTGAAATCATCCAACATGACGTCTTTGTGTCTACGATCATTATGACCCTTGCTTGGTCATTCCTCCTGGCTTCATAGTAATCAATTGCTGTCGTTATCGTCCACTCTATTAAGCAAATGACAGAATTGAGCGAGATATGGCTCAGCCTCCAAGTGTTCAAAATACCGCCGCTCCGGAAATTGACATGAGTTGCTCACCCTCATCGCGTATGCCAATGACCCTCCCATACCTAGTTATTAGGTAGCCCCGTGGCTGACGCATTCACAAGTGGAACGGTGAAAAGGCAAGATCAGCGTATACGAAGGAAGCTGCAAAACAAATATACGGGACCTAGAAGTTCATGGACACAAGCGCGACAGCTCTCTCGGACGGTCGCAGGAGTTGCTATCTCCGGCTGCAGACAGCGCGATGTCCTTGATATACCGCAGCGTTCACGGCAACTCTGTCACTGCAAAGTTTGGGAGTCAAGCATACGGGCCGTTACAGCGTCATCCTACAATTGAGGAGGTTCTGATCACCCGACCCTGCCTTCACTGGGCCGTGCTCATTCGACGCTCCACCACTTTATTTAGGTCATCGTGGTTGGATGTCTACGGTACAGCCCATGATTGTGGTTTTGGGACTATTGGTCCTAAACTACAGAACCTGGTCCGTAGTTCCTATATCCGGCCGGTCCGTCTCCCACTCTGGTTCTCCGCACGTTCTGATGAGACCTCAGACATTGCACTTCCCCCCCCCCCCCAATACAATTGTGCTGCAGGTAGTATTCGCTTCTATACTTAAGAATATCCAGGTCCAACGACCAAGCCCTTGCAACGGCTATGCAGGGCGGCATTTGGGCGTCATACTATGACCCGCCACAATGAATAGTATTCTTCGCGCCGACCTGGACCTTATTCACTGGTCCATCTACTACAGCGAGCGCTCCGCGCAAAGCAGTCAAGGTCGATAAGTCAAGCTCATGTACCCCGATGCTTGGTTGTGGAGGTTATGACACACTAAGACGTGTTCTTCACTTCGTGGGGCGTTTAGTCCTTCCAACCGGCCTCTGGTGATCGACATATGTCACGGTGTGGGCGCACGCCGGACTATTTCTACGGTGTTCCAGTGGTCGTATCTACGGATTCATTTAATTCGACATGCCATACTGCTGATCGTTCATCTGGGGGACTTGATCATGGCGCTCTGTGTGGCATGGAAGGCTGCACCGAGCCCTGGCAATCTAGACCCAACATGTCTGCCTTTCGGCGACATCGACAGGAGTTCCGTACGAATCTGGAGACGCGTTGTATTATTGACCAATCAAAGCATCGCAAGATCTGGGGTTCAATACCCTGGGACCACCTTCATCGCTGCCCGTGCGCCGATGGGAGACCCTGCGGGCCCATCACGCGTAATTATCCACTGCACCTCTCGGCAGCGTAGTAGATATATTCGGCGAGGCGGCGGCCGGTGTCAAGCAGCGTGAGGCCAGGCGTTTGTCATGTCATACGGACCGATTTTGTAGGGTAGCTATCACAGCATGCTAACTACACGAGTTCCCGGCCACCTCGCTTGAAGACCTTCCCTCCCTTCATGACAAAGACAATGCTCGATTTATCGACCGCATTCTCGAAATCCTTCTCCAGGTCGCCTTTCGTTGCCACGATATCAGCCGCGAAGCCCCTCCTGACTACACCAAATGGCACCTCGTTGTCTCCGACCTCCTGCGCGCTCTCCTGCAGCTCGTCCACGAGTGCCAACCGTGCCGCGCCCTGCGTGCCTTCCCAAGCCGCACTCCGAATGCAATGCCAGCCCCCTAGGGTCGCCCACCCCAGGACGTGCCTCCAATCCGCGCCGAGCCTAACCATTAACTTCATTTCCAGCGCATTGTCTCCATGAGGGAACGGCCCCGTGTCGCCGCCACAGGCGATGTTCGTCATACCTCGCTGAATCGCTTCCTGGAAGTTACGTGAGGTCGTATCCCACGGGCCACCTGCAGCCTTTTCGTGGTCCTCGGAGTAGAACACGGACAGGGTCGGGACCCAGGTGACCCTTGACTTCACGATATGGTCGACAAGTTCGTCGGGAATATTGTTCCCGTGCTCGAGTGTGTCAACGCCTCCGTTCTCCGGTAGGAGATCCGGACGCCACGTCTGCGCATGCGCTGCCACCTTAACGCCTAGTTGGCGAGCAGCGGACACCATAGCCTTGACCTCGCCGGTCGTGAACGTCTGCAGCGCGGTGCGAGGGAGCTTGGTGTTCACATCCGCGATGCGGGTGCGTGGGCGATAGTCTAAAGCGTTCATAACCGTCATTGAGCAACGTAAGTTCCGGCTTTGGACCCCACACGCGGATTTGGGACTCGCCTGCGTACACCTGTTGATAGTCTTATATGTTAATGTCCATCGGGCCATCAGCGGAAACGATCTACGCGACCTTGATCCAGTCTGCTCCCGCGCCCACCTGCATCCGAACAGCCTTGACGCACTCGACTTCGCCATCGACGAACTGCGCTCCGGTGACACCTTCGACGCCGTCTTGGTGCAAGTGCAGGTTGCTTTTCGGACCTGATCCGATGGATCATTGCTCAGTAAGTGAGACCAAGGATCGTTCAACGGCGCTCCGAGGACCAAGGATCGTTCAACGGCGCTCCGAGGACTACTCACCATAGCTGCCACTTGCAATGATTGCCCGGTTCGCGCAAAAATATCGGGGTCCCGAGATGATAGGGTTCGGGCCAGACATGCACTTCCGCAAGTGAATGTCAGCGTCTTCCGCGCCTTCTGTTCCTAGGTCCCTGTTTGCAACATCCCACGTGAGTCACCATCCTGCTTTGACCCTAGAGTGTACCACAGGCTACAGACGGCCGCCTTGAGGCCGCAGAGTCAAGAATGTGGAGATGCACAGCACTAGACGCACCGCACAGCAGTATACCCCGCCATCAATGTCCGCTTGGCGTGAACGGTGGCGCGTACGGTGCGCTCCACGAGGCTCTCCTTTGTGAGCTGTTCGCCCCATGAGGCTTCGCCATACGAATGAAGGAACACTACGACGAAAGATGTCAGATCGAGACGTGAGCCGAGGCCGCAAAGCCGCCAGAAGGACAGTCTATGATAGTACAGGATAAAGATAGGAAAGATCTCAAGGTTCCGAGCAGAGCCAGCGCAGAAGTACACGATGGCATCCACGAACGGCAGACGTCAAATAACACAAACTCACGGTGCACATGTGCGTCCACAAAGCCAGGAAGGACTGTCGCGTCCCGCAGGTCGATCGCCTTCTCGTCCCCTCCAAAGTCCACCTCGTTCGCTTCCTGCTCCGTGTACGGCTCGACGTCCACGACCAAACCTAAGTCCTCCGAGACGGTCACCACGCGCCGCGGCAGCAGCTGGAGCGAGTGCGGGTCGAACAGCTTTCCGGCGTAGATCTTCACGAGGCGCTCGGGGTCTCCGTCTCTGCGACGGGACGATCGCTCCGGCGGGTACGCGAAGCTGTCCGTGTCCATGTCTGTTGGCCTGGGTGTCGACTGCGACGCGATAGTGCTGGGGACTGTGTGTGGCAGTCCAGACGCGGTCTGAGGCAGGATGTGCATAGGTGTCCGTCTGCAGGGGGTCGCACGTTCTGGTGCAAGCTCGACTTCGAATTCCCGGCTGCGCAGCGGGGACACGGTGCGTGGGTGACCCCGATCCCAGTCGGGGCCGTGTCTGCATACTTACTAGACTCTTTCTGCAGGCGGTTCAGAATCAGTGGGGTAGTTCACTTTGTAAGGGCTTCAGGTTCAGTTCCAATAGTGGGGAGCATTGGCGCCTCGCGTCGACCGCCTATGGCGACCACGAAAGAGAGCGCTTGACAACCTAGCCGACATACCGCCAGCCCCACTGGTTCAGAGATCACCAGGATTTGGTGTGGTTCTGAATCGCTTGCACAAAGAGTCTACTTCGCGGGCGATGACGACATGCTCGTGATGGGCCACCGTCGAGTGCCGCGTTCGTGATGATTCCACGAGGCTTGCGGACTCTGCAGATTCTGCACCGAAATTACAGGGTCTGTCTGTGAGACGTTTCGCGGATGGCCCATCACCGAAGCGTCGGCCATGACGATATCTGCATGTAGGCCGTGTTCTTCATTTACATGAACAATGGTCGCCTTGTGGCCCTCCTCGTCCTCGATATACGACTAGAGACATACACTACTGCAGTTGTAGGACGAACACCGAGTGAACTTCCTTCGTTTCCATTCGGGTCCAGCCATGCTAGTGGAAACACGGGTACGAGAGAAGCCTTCAAATCTTCCCTGCCGAACTGGCCTACAATTGTATTGTCGCTCTTTCTCACATATACTCCATGATTGGCAGAAGGTCTACATCTCGGATGCCGGTATATGATTGATGAGTGTGTGCGATCCCGACTTGTACAAGTACATATGACTACAAGGTTCGTTCCGATGACGGGGATCCTGCTAGCGAACGGCGACTGCGAGGGTGCAGCGGGCAATGAAGATTGGACTGCAGAAGCAATAAGCGGTTGACTTGGCCGAAACATTCGACACAACATGTCCATCCCATGGCACAAGATGCCGCACCTCGTATGAACGACGACATACCACCATGTCACTGACTGGTTGTGATAGGTTGCCTTCGCACCTCCTCGAACCGAGCGCCCTCGGCCTCGGCACGTTCGATGTGTCTAGTGAGCTTATCCTCGCGGGACTGCAAGCGCTGCTCCATGCCCAGAATCATGAGGCGCATTTGTTCGACATACGCCTTTGTCGCTTCGACGCTCGCTTGATCGTTTGTAGCTTTGTTGGACGACACCGGGCTGGACTGCCTGCCTGAATTAATGAGGCTGGCGGCGCGTGCGTGAAAGCCTGAAGCGGAAGTGGGTGTGCCCAGTTCTAGGTTGGACTGGGCGAATGAGGGTGAGAGTCAGGGTGGACGACATAAGACTAATAGAAAGTCGTAACAGGACACACCTGCCAATTCACGCCGGCCAATTTCTCGAGCTCACGCTCGAGCATCTTCTCTCGCACCTTTCCTCTGTGGCCCATGTCATTCGTAGAGCCTGTAAGAACAAAGGTGCATAGCTGCCGACATACCTCTCCAGCTCAGCCATACATCGCTCATTCTCTCGTTGCGTTCCCTGCAGCAAAAGCTCAAGGTTCGTATATTCTTTCTCCAGTGCCTGGATCTCCTCCAGTGGCGGTCGTTGAGCTAGCTGTGCCTGAAGGGACTGAATTTGGATTTGAAGCTATCATAGCGATCACTCCTATGTATTGTATCGGTGACTATTCATCGATGAACGCACCCTGTCGCATTCCCTGTCCTTCTCGAGCAACTGTCGGCGGAGGACATCTTCCACAGATTCGTCCTCTCTCAAGACACCGAGGTCGTCCGTGTTATGAACCTGTGATGGTCGGGCGTAGTGTCTGACACTCTGAGCGCGGCGCATGTTGAGTTCGTCAAGTATGTGATTGCGTAGATATAGACCTCGATAGTGGCGACGCTGGTGGAGACGACAAGGAGACAAGCTTCGGCATCGCCAGGATGCGTTGAATGCCCGAAAGGGAAACCAGCCTCAATACGCGTGTCTACCACGTGATTACAGCCACCCGCGCGACAAGACGCGTCCCGTAGTCAGCACCGCAACAACCCGGTGAGCCGCCTGTCGTACCTCCGCCACTTACTACAACTGCTCTCACACGCTCAAATACACATGTTGAAACTACAGTCTCTGTTGAGTGGGGGTTGTCTGGGGGCTATACTACAAGGGTGAACGGACGGCCCGCGGAGGCTTCTCGGCCTCCGCTGGGTCGGACGGCCCGCGGAGGCTTCTCGGCCTCCGCTGGGTCCAACTGGCAACCGGACCTCCATTCCTGTCATCCGATCACATCGAATGGGATATTTCTCACCCATCTGGTGATCATGTCCTGTGAACCGACGATTCCAACCCTAGTCAGCTCACGAGTGCACGCATGAAACGTGCTAAGAGCAGACACGCTCACCAATGTGGCCTCCGGTTGGTCGTGTGGGGCCATGTGTCTGCAGGCATGACCAACGTTGTGTGAGCACGGCACATGGAACATGGACCAACAGCAAGACATGGATGCATGGAGGTACATACCCGCCATCGACAATCTGGACGTAGGTGACGTTTCCTGCACCTGACCCGCCCGCCGTGCGCACCTTGCCTCCGACGTCCCCCGTCACGTCTGTGATGAACGGGAGGAACGGCGCGCTCAAGAACTCCTCGTGGTGCTTGTGCTCGAGCTTGAGCATCCAGTTCTCAATGCCCTAGGTCAATGCTAACATTCAGTCCAGTGCACTCGATGTCACCAGGATCACACACAATGTGATTGCAGACACTATCTGAAGACAGTTCATTATAATCAGCTGAGTCAGTCCTGGTTTTAGTGAGACACAAAAGCTCACCGGTATTCCCGGCAAAGGACATCAGGCGTATACCGGCCTCCACAAGCTCAGGCAGAAGCGCCGCGCTGTTGTGCATCGCTTGACCCTGTGTGTAGAACCCCGCGTTGGTCGTCATGTTACACGCTAGGAAGTCAATCGGACTGTGATCCACGCCCAGCGCCCTTTTCACGTCGGGTTTGTTCATCCAGGATGTAATCCACCCCATTTCCTCGTAGCACACCCCGTCGGGGTCCACGCATGGGATCCGAATGTCGTATGGGTTGTAGTGGATGTCTATAAGGGATTATTCGTCAGTATGCTACGATATTGCATTGTGTGGCTAAGATGTACTTACTACCCCCAACACCCAGGACGCGTGCCCAGCAGTACCTGGTCGCGGACACGCATGTCGCCAAGCTCTCAAATCGATAACAGCTCTCGATCATCCTCTCGCAAATCGGGGCTTCGGCTCTCAACATGCGACATGTCACTGAGTCCTTTTCGAACGGCGGGTACGGCGACTTGTCGCATAGGTATTCCGGTACGCTCTCGAACTGCGTCGCTGGTTCTGTCAAGCCATTCGCCAAGATCAAGCTGGCAAAATTGATATGCCTCTGTCCTGGGAACGGAGCGTATATGCGGCGCTTGTTCATCTTATGTACGTAGCTCGCGATGTTTGGTCCATAATGCCCGCCCCAGCTCTCCGCAGCGAGATGGAATGGTTTTTCGGCGTATTGGGGGAAGCTGGACACGAACAATTGGAGGAAAGCGTAGACGTCGACAGCAAGGTCCGCAAGCGTGTCGACCTTGGAGTGGTCGGAGGCGTAGGAGTAACCGGTACCGATGGGCTCGTCAAGGAAGATCATGTTCGCAACGTTAGTCCATGAGTACGGGTTCCACTCGGTCGTATTTGGAGAAGTGACAGCGCAGGGGCCGTTTTCGAAGAGTAGACCTGTCGTGGAGCTACATCCAGGCCCGCCATTGAGCCACATCATGAGAGGTGCCGAGTCCGGATTCTTCCGTGCTTCGAAGAACCTTGGCGCATGGATACTGAATGACGGATACTAGCTGCGAGACAGGATAAGCACACTCACCAGAAGAAGAGGTGACGAGTGTCTGAGATATCAAGATATCCCGAGTACTGTTTCACGGTGGGGTCACATATCTCAGGACTAGTAACCCTCAAGCGATGATCCGAGAACGCAGGGTGCGCAAACTGCTGGTCTGCGGGAGGAGAGTACGCTGCTTTAGAGAGTATTTTCGCGGACCAAAACTGTGATTGCACACTCACACACTACACCATCAACACTGGTAATCGTGCTTCGGAACTCCTCTTGCCGATGCTCTTCTACAGAGTTGGCTGCGGGATGTTCAACCCCAGGCCAAGCCAGAATATGTTGAGGTCCGACATTGTCAACACCTACCACTGCGTCTGAACCCACGAATGGGTTCGCGGCTGCACCGAGCAAAGTCGTAGAAAGCAACAACGCAGAGACCCAGCGCATCCCTTGTACAGACGCGAACCAGCGAACCTCAGCCTGGATGATGATGGTCCAGAGAGCCCGGCGTCAGCGCGGCTCCGCCTTGGTATGACTCTAGAGAGATTGTGCCTTGTGAGCGTGGAACATCAATTGACCATGATATCCATGGGCGCCTTGCCCCCGCATACTGTAAGTATCGGGCTACTGCTACAGTACATGTACAGGGGTGTCGCTCGGGCCCCGAACCATGTGCGAGCCGACCCCGTTGAGCGGGCGGCCCAGCGAAAGGGGTGCAAGGCAAATCCGTCGGATGCTCTCCATGGTGCCCTCCAGCGTCTTGAGTGGCGCATCGGCTCGCATCTTAGTCGGCTCGTTCACCGACCTCAGCGTGTTTTTGATTTCGAAAGAGCCTAAAGATATGCAAACCGCTGTAAGATTGGCCGAAGACGCAACTCGGATCCTACCTTGGTAGAAGAGAGTACTCCCGTAAGAACATGCCGTCTCGTTGTTGTTGCCAGGTTCAAATCAGGCACATTATGTAATGGAGCTCGTTGAAGCCCTCTGTGCAGGCAAAATGCAACGGGGTACATCGCGGAGCCTCACGCACAAGTCATGACATGCTAATTTGGAAACACTGGTTCCGCTCAACAACAATCAACAGAGTACGGAGGTGGCGATCACAGCCTGATTAAAGCACTGCACATAAGAAGGTGAGTATATGCGCGCATTCGGGATAGCCGCTAAGTGGACATGCAACCAAGATTCGGTCTGAGCCGCTTGCAGAAAGAGTACAACAATCATGAATCCAGCCAACCTACGATAGCCCTGGCGTATTCAATCCCTTCCAGTTGACTGAGCCTACGCGAAGACGCGGGAGCCGGCTACAACACCAGTGAGACCAGGTCAAGACGTCTGCGAATTATGTACGTCGCTCTCTGGCTCGGCAAGCACGCTTGGTGAGTTCGGGCCCATTCTGTGCATCATCTTCTGGGGCCTGTGGCTTGCGCTCCCGGCTAGGTTCGGGACATATTAGCTTCCCGGAAGTACTTGGCGTTAATACCACGATGCAACAACGTGTAGTTCTGCCCTTTTTGCCGCAACGGAATGTGCAGAAGGCGATCCTGGCGTAGGTCGTCATGGATGGTGACGTCATTCTCGGGGAGGCGAAGGTAGGGTGGCGTCCTGCTACCCGGATTCGCCCGGCGAATCTCCCGAACATGAGTACTTGCGAAGGCGCATCAATATTCAGACGACGTCAGCGATCTGTCTAAAGAGCATTGGCGGTGATAGGGTATCCAGAACGCAAGGCTCAGATCTCAGATTCCGTCCCATGTTCAATGGCCGTCGGCGTGACTTGTGAGTGATTCAGTTTACAGCGTCTTGCACGCTCAACAGTCTGAAAGCATTTGTAGGAACTCGTCAACGAACGTATGGCATGGTGTACATACTCAAACCCAAGAGATGGACATTGAAAGATGGAATCACGGATACACCCCGAGAAAGTCTGGTAGTGAGACAGACGGCCGGCGTCATGGAATCCAAAGGAAAACGAAGGCACTATTACTCCTAACACCTGACGTCAAGTATACTGTTACACAAGCCAGTATGCTCCCCGCTCCTGGATATCTACAAGGCCGTGGTATCACAACATACTGGTACACATCCAATATCAGTGTGGAAGCCAGAGGCCAGGCAGTCGCACGACGCCCACCGCTCCCTTCCAAAGTGATCATAATCAGAAACCCCCAAGGCACCCCTCATCAAGCTCAGGGGAGAACGCGAGCCTTTGTCGTCGTCGTCGCTCCACGCGCGTCGAGTTCTCTTGACTATCCTTCCCCTCGTGCGAGCTTCGTCGAGGAGGCGTAGGTAATGACGGGTGGGGCGACAGAGTATTTGTGGAGGAGTCCGCGAAAGAATGGCGTCGCCCTCTGTGTGAATCGGGTAGGTGTAATGGCATGGTACTCGCGATGGGCGCGAGGCGGGGCAGGTCCCCACCAGGAGGAGTCAAGACGGCCTCGTCAGACTCGTCCGAAGGCGACAGGTCCTGGATGAGCGCCGGTACGGTGAAGTCGAAGTCCAATGGGGGCGCGGGGACGTTCGCGGGCTCGGGCATGCACGCCTCGAATGCGCGCGGGTGGAAGTAGCTGCCCTTGACAGGAGAGTCGTCCGCGTTTCCGAAGCGCCCCCTTCCGCGACTGCGGCTACGACCGCGCTCGCGACGCTCTGGGTCGCAATTTGCGGATGGAGTTTGCAGCCTGCGGTCGCCGCGGCGTGGGAGCTGGACGACATTGGGGGAGACGACGATGGGCTTGCGATCGTATGTCGAGGGCGAGTGCGCAGGGTATGTTGACGACATACCGGGGGTAGGAGGGAAATGGACATGCGGAGAGAAGAGCGGCCCACCGCGAGTCCGCGAAAACGGAAGTACGGGAGACTCTGGAGGTGTTACGTCTCGCCTCAGGATGGGACGGGGACTCCGACCACTATTTGAGGCCAAAGCGATCTGGGACATGTCGGTCTACTGCAGGCAGAAGGGTAGGAGTGTGTTGGGCTATGGGCCGTGGATCCGTGCGAGGTTCGGTTTCAAGAGGCGGTGGCACAATGCAGAGTACCCTCACTGCTGTTGTAGATCAGAGAGGGAAGTAGTGGACGACCGTAGTCGAGCTGAGAGTGAGGTCCGCAATCGGTGTATGTCCGAGCAGTGTTGCCGGAGGAGAGTCTCCTCCGCAGGGCAAGCTCTATCTTATAGAAGCGAAATTTGGCGGGCAGAACGTGTGCGTGGCACAGCGGAATCATGTGCGTCCATGTAATCTGAGTGCCATCTACAAGTTCAAGCGACAGACCCATCTCCACGTCCCCACCCCACCGGAGAAGCGATGCTTAGATGCGAGATCTGAAGCCGGTCGTCCCGCGTGTTGGGAGACCTTCTGACTCCGCCCGCCGCTCAGTGAGCTCGATGAGCCACTTGTGTACGAGGTGTGGTGATGTTACTGGAGCTTTCCAGTGTCCAAATGTATGACGAAAGTCCTTCTTGCAAGCAGACACGCTGCGGGGTGAGAAAAGTGGCGTCTACGGCAGGTACAGGATTGGAGCCAGAAGAGTTCGCCTAAGGAGCCACTCGTATCGATACGGCAATACGGCCCGGCGGCATCTGTGCACAGCTTGTCACAAATCGCCACAGCGAAAGGGGTATTAGCCACAGCGAGTGGTTTGCGGGGTAGAGGAGTCCTTTATAAACGAAGACGCGCAAGGAACACTTAGCTCAAAAGCCTCTCGAAGGTCAGTAGCCAGCGGGCAGGTCAATTAACAGTCCAGAACGGCTTTTACGTCTTGCTGAGTAGCGTACTCACCTGACGTGATACAGCCCAAAGTAGGGATGGGTTATCAGATGAGCCAACACACATAGATCGCTTCCGCCGGAAGGGGGACTTGTCCATGTATGTAGTCTGCGCTCGAAATGCTGTACATGCCTGATTGCTCTTCTAATCGATCATCGTGTCCTCGAGACCTTGAATGTGCGCGAAGCCCACGCACCCAACGTCACCGATGTGGCTCTTGGTATATATCAAATTGTGCAGATCGCGTGGAGTAGAAGAACTGGGAAGATGCGTAAAGGTAAAGTGAGACGGGAGCATGCGGGTGCGAAGATCGCGTTGGCCTGGCCTTCAACTCTGCCAAGGATTCAGGTCAAGAGTGCTCGAAGCCGTCTTCTTTCCGCTTCCGTATGGATTACCATTGGCCCACGGATCGCCGCTCGCGTGCAACGGCGGCGACGACACAGATGAGAATGTGATCGACCCATCGACACTACCAAACGACAAGCCAGATGCGGAGGCAGTGGCGAATGAATGATCCGGCGGAGCTGGTAGGCCGTCTGCGCGGAGTCCGCCTGACCCTGCGCTGGCGAAAGGATTGGACAACAGGTCCGTCGAGCGCATCGCCCCCAAACTAGAGGGCATCTGATAACCTCCAACTCCCCCGTATGCTGCTGAGATCGGTTCGGGATCCTGAGTTGGCCAAAATGACCCGTCACCGCCCCCGAAAGCTACTGCAGGTCGTCGTGACGAAGATGTGGCAGAGCCGTATGATGTCATGTCTGCTTCTTCCGCGTCTGACACATCGTTGAGCGAGAGTGACCTCGAAAGCGTGGAAGACAGGTCAGTGCGGGGAATAGTGCTAGGTCCCGCTATGGGTTCTCTCTCGTGCGGGATCGGGAGAAGACCAGCCGATGCTCTTGTCTTCGGTGTGGGGGTTGATGGGGGCTCTGGTATGGGAGGCGGCGCCGACTCCGTCCGTTTCGTAGGAGGCGGAATACTTGATGGAGGAAAGGGGCCAGCTTGAGGGACATTGAGCTCCTTCGGATTCGGGTCCGACTTGCCCAGGACCTCCTTGATTGCGGCAAAGTCGAAGCCGGCGTGCGCAGGGATATCCGAAATCCCGACATCGCCATTGTCAGGAGTCGATGGGGATTTTGGTGAATGTGATGGGCCGAGTGCTGGCGTCGGTGTTGAGGCGCCCTCTCGAGGAGGTAATTCATCGTCATCAAGGGCATTGGATTCCTGAGAGGCCCTTTTCTTCGGAAGACCAAAAGTCGCGGCGGAAGGTGGACGCGAAACGCAATGAGATGAACTTGACGACTTCTTCTTCCTCCGCCCAAACCAACCCTTCTTCTCCTGCTGCTCGCCTTCCCTGATGACCACACGATCCCCTTCGAAATCGGGCTCCTGCAACACGTACTTAGGTTAGTGATGTGATAGTCAATGAGATATTGCTTCAACGCAGACCTCGGGCTCGTCGAAGTAGTCCGCCGAAACGGGGAAGCCGAGTTGATCGAGAATGAGCGGCATGAACGTCCGATAGCTCATGTGACCTGCGATCTTGTCCGTCACATCCACATTTTCGAGCCCCGGAACGTTCTGCACAGGACGCAGCCCCGCAACTGTGTTCAGGCCGCCGCTAGTGGCGCGGAACAAGTAATTCAATACCCAGTCATTCCGTGCGTACCCGTTCACAAAGCGCCCGGACACCACCGAGCGGACCTCAAGCCAGGTGCTGAGCGGTGCCGTCACGGTTGCGCCTAGTAGGAAGACGTCCTGCACGATTCCATAGGCGCCCTTCTTCGCGAGTTCAACGAGCGCGTAGAAGATTACCCGGGCGCCCAAGGAGAATCCGATGAGGGTGATGGGGCGAACTCCGAGGTGTCTTTGCATAAGGACGTCTGCTAGGACGCTGCCTGCTGACCTCGCGCGATCGAGGGCGTTGGACCAGGGGTTATCGATCAGATAGCCGAGCTTGGTGAGAACTGAATTAGGCATGTCAGTGTCATCCTCGCACAATATCGTCGTTTAAGTTGTACTGACTAATTGGCCATTGAAGGGCACTCATGAGCGCAGTCATCACAGTCGCCTGAAGGGCTGTCTGAGCTAGCTGCGTGAGCACTTCGCTCGTCAAGATCTTGAGCGCGCTTCCAGTCTCTGTGATCATCTCCGGCTCCCAGAGGACGCTGAAGACATCTCCGACTACCGGGTCTAAGACGCTAAATGGCAGACGGACGTCATCGAGATGGCCAGTCATGAACCTAATTACACATGGTGAGGCATTGGTCGGAATACCTTGCAGTAAGTTCGATACGTACCCGGATACAGTGAGAATGCAATTTACCCTCTTGTGATTATGCAAGGGCAGGATGTCGAACGTGCGGACGTATTGCGTCCTGCGCGCCATGCCCCGAGCAGCGATACTGGACCCTGTCAAGACGCCTCCTGTCGTGATTACGGCTGCCCCACCGGTTCCGGCCAGAAAACCTGTCGTCCCAGTGATTCCGATCGTCGTGAATGCGGCACCGAGACCTGCTCCGATAACGGGAGCAAGAAGGCCTGCTGACAGACCGATCACAAGTCCACCACCTCGATTGAAACAATCGTATTAGGCGATGGCAGAACGCGACATCGTAATCATGGAGACTTACCTAGTGTCGCCAATCCGAGCATCATGTAACGACGCTTCTTGGAGTTCTTCTGAACGTCCTGAATAGACTCCTGCTGCTCCAGCTTCTCGATGCCCTCCTGAATCTCCAAAGCCTCTGTCACTCGACGCTCGAATTTGACCACGTCCAGCCAGCCAAGCCCAAGCTTCAACGCCACGCTCTCAAGGAGTACACGCGACCGCGCATCGTATACGCTGTCAGCAATTAGGATGAGGAAGAGGTCACACAGAACAGTCCATCGGATGTCCAACGTCACATCCTTGTCGGCGGCGGAGAGTTGTGTACTAACACCTGGCATCGCGGGGGCCGCTGTGCCCTCTAGGACTTTGGTTGTAGTCTGCTGAGGTTTCGGTGGAACAGGGGGAGGAAGGGAGCGGTACGCAGGGGGCGGGGAGGCAGGAGGCGTAGAGCTGCTATCTGAGATGTCTGCAGATTCCTTGGCGGCGTCCTCCGCACGGAGCTCAGCCAGCCGGCGAGCCTCTACAGGATCGTACTCGGGATTGGCAACGGTATGGGTGGTCATGAGGGGTGGTACAAGATCTTTGGCTTCGATTCCATGCTGTCCGAGGCTCTCGATCATCTTCTGCTCTAACGGGCTTGTTCAGTGTCAGGCTTTCCTCGATGGAGCTGTTACGGTAGACACTTCACCTTCAGTTGCGAGTTCCATATGATAGTACAATCGGCCCATGATCTTTAGTGCCCACAGCTCCATGTTCTGTATCGCCTTCTTGAGCTCCTTCCGCTTGACATTCTTCATCCTGTCCACCATCTCCTTAGTCGTAAGTTGACAGAGGCCGACATAGGCTATACGCTGCGCCTCCGTGAGCATGTCCTTCGTCTGCTGCATTTGGCTGAGAGGAGTCATAGCCTTATCCTCGTCGAAGAGGTACCGCGTGCGCAGGTGCACCTCGTCCGACTCGTCCTCCTCATTGATTCGGATGCGAGTGTACTCGTTCTCGTCCTGCTCCGCTTTCGTCCGCCACTCGTGCCCCTTGTAGTCGACATCCAGCACTGCTCCAGTGGCGTTACTCTGCCCAGCGCCAGACGTCGAGGCCGTCTTGGTAGGAGCGACATAGTGGTACTTCTTCTGATCCTCCTCGTCCAGTCCTCCGGCGATGTCATCGTCATCTCGTACTACGGGCATGTCCTGCCAGCCCTCTTCGTCATCGTCAAATATGTCGGCTTCAATTGGCGCAATGGGCGGTGCAGACACGATGGGCATTATGGCAAGCAGGCGAGATGGGTCAGGGAAAGATTCGAGGAACGAGGATGGTGGCCCTGCGGCGAAGCGTGTCTAATAGGCGCCCATGATCGGTGATCCGGGGTACAGGCGGTAGACGACCTCGGGCTCCAGCACAAACTGTGGTATGGGCACGACGTGTCCTGCGGCCAGCACATGAACAAGCAGCCCTACGAGGACGGTGGTATGCGCGCGATATCTGGTGATACAACAGATTGTCTAGGGAATACAGACTGCGAGGTTTTAGGACGCTTTTGCTCTCGCCTTCGCCTCCTCCCTTTCCTGCGCCCGCTTCTTCGACTCCTCTAGCTTCGCCGCCTGCTTCATCTTTCTCTGACGTCTTCGCCTGCAAGCCCCTCGCTTGGGACCCTCTACCGCTATCTCCTCCTGCAACCGGCGTTTCTTGCGGGCGGCGTCCTCTTGCCGCTGCTTTTCACGCTTCTTATCCCGTTTTCGAAGTGTTGACATGCATGCCTTCAAAAGCGTCCCATACGCTGCGTGGAACTTCTCAAGGTCTGCAGGCTGAACCTGTTCGTGCATCTTGTGTTTGATTAGATGCAGAGGGCACGAGGGGATAGCACACGTACGATCGTCGAGAACTTCGAATTGTCTCCATCACTGACTCGGACAAGACATGGGTATTCTTTGATGCCATCGGCTTCCGAGGACATATGGGCATCGCCGCCCTCGTGTAGCACTGCGACATGGTGAGTGAGAATCAATAGATCTTGTAACTTGAGAGACAGATACGCACGTCGTTTATGCGTAAGCCATATCGAACCAGATCTCGCGCTCGACTCGAACAGGGTCGACACTTGTGTTAAGAACTTCGTAATGTGGTCATGAACAGGCGATTTTGAAAGCGCAAACAACGATACTCACAGTCTCGTTATCGACCAGCTGCATCGGAGCTGGGAAGGCAAGCCCGCGACCACGAGCGCCCTCTGGGAGCTTTGGCGGAGGACTGTGACTCAGAGTCACTCTACGGCGTAACGCCTTTGTTGGGCGCCAATGGAGGCCGAGAAATGCGGATGGGCTTCCGATTGCTCATCTTCACGCGCTCACTCTTTTATTGGCGGATTCACCATGGCGTTCCGGACAGTCGCTTCAATTTGTGCAACTCTTCCCCATTCACCATCGCCTTGCTTAGGTTCTCGCGAGACATGGAGGCATTCCCGAAGCCCGTTGGAGGGGCTTCCATGCTCATAGCCTTCCGCCCTGCCAAGAGAATTGTCATCATTGTCGGCGGGAACACACTCGCCGCCTCACGCGCATTCACCGCGTTAGAAGCAGACGCAAAGGTCATCGTCGTTTCTAAAGGCGGCCTCGAAGGAGTTTGCGAGGAGTTGCGATGGCGAGCCAGCCAGGAGCAACTTGATCTCGTCGATATCGATGCACTCCCCTGTTCCAACTCTGGATCGAACGATTACTGGCGCGACGGAAAGGCTCTCGATAGCTTCATCTACCAGCAGCCGACCCCACCTGCTATGGTCTGCATTACCGACACCGTCGCTGGACCCAACGGGTATCGTCGCAGCTATGACTCCGCCTCTTCTATCGCACGCTATTGCCGTCACCGTCGTATTCCTGTCACCGTCGCCGACATCCCGGAACTCTGCGACTTCAGTTTCATGTCTTCGCACCGTTTCGCGGACCTCGGCACAGGGAGGCCATCCCCCCTGCAAGTGGGCGTCACCACGAATGGTCACGGGTGCAGGCTTGCGGGCCGCATCCGGCGAGAAATAGTTGCAGGGCTCCCGAAGGAGGTTGGCGGCTCAGTGGAGAAGGTGGGAAGGCTCAGGGCGCAGGCGAAGGCGTCAGACGGAGTTGGAGAAGAGCCGGAGTTGAACGAGGACAGCGCGCCCTTTACGCCGAACGAACCCGTGCCGCAGCGGAAGATGGAGGAGACCGAGACCGAGAAGGAACGTGCGCGGAGGCGGATGAAGTGGGTCGCGCAGGTCAGCGAGTATTGGCCATTACGACGGCTCGCGCAGATGACGGACGAGGACATGCTTGCGGTTTTGGACGGGCGCGAGGGCTTTCGAAGTGCGACGCCTAATTTTGGCGATTCCTCTCAGGCGGGAGACCAGATCACGACACCCTTCCATGGTCTGAGTCTCTCTCCGCCACCTCGTCGCGGACGTATACTCTTGGTCGGATCCGGTCCCGGACATCCCTCCCTCTTGACCGTCGCCACACACGCCGCTCTTACGAAGCACGCTCAGCTGGTGCTCTCAGATAAATTGGTTCCGGATGCCGTGCTTGCCCTAATCCCTTCTGGAGTAGAAGTTCGCATTGCTAGGAAGTTCCCCGGGAACGCAGACGGCGCGCAGCAAGAGCTCATGGAAGCCGCAGTGGAAGCCGCAAAACGCGGCCTGACAGTCGTTCGGGTGGGTCTGTCTTATCTAGCGTGAAATCGCATCGTACTGACGGGACGGCGCAGTTGAAGCAAGGCGACCCGACTGTGTACGGCCGCGCGGGCGAGGAAGTTCTCTACTTCCGCTTGCACGGATTCGAGCCGTTGGTCGTGCCCGGAGTCAGCTCCGTTCTGGCAGGTCCCACCTTTGCTGGCATCCCTGTTACGCAACGAGGAGCGGCGGAGTCGTTCGTTGTCTGTACAGGTGTTGGACGTGCGGGCAAGGAGGTCAAGTTGCCTGGGTACGACCGTGCCCGGACGCTCGTGATACTCATGGGCGTCGCTCGACTACCTCAAGTACTAGAAGCGCTCCAGTCTGTCGACCAGGAGTCCTCAAAACGTCGAGAAGGCCTCGCATACCCCTCTTTGACGCCTATCGCGCTCATTGAGCGTGCGTCCATGCCTGACCAGCGCGTCATTGCGTCGACATTACGCGATATCCCTGCGGCATTGGAGAGCGTTGGCGAGCAACGTCCGCCCGGCATGCTGGTAGTGGGTTGGTCGATTTTGTCATTATGGGACAAAGGTGATGTGAGTGTTCTTGATGAGGGTGCGGACGCACGGGACGGGGAGCGCATACGGACGTGGTTAGCCGACAAGCCATGGAGGGTGACGGAGGGTCTCGAGGCCGGCTGGCAGGATTGGTAGCCGTCTATGTCGAAAGCTCAGCTGCGCACAAGGACTGTAGCATCATTTTGTTGTATCGTAGTCTTTCATATCTCTGTTGTACACTTGTTCAAATGGCGAATACGTACTAGTTTAAGGGTTCCAGTCTTCTACATGCCCTACGCCACTGGTGCTGCTAGCCACAAGGACGCGTGAGTCACGTGCGTGACACACGCGACGCGTCGTGGCCGGCGGTTCAAGCTCGAACTTATCCACAACGCCCATCCCCCATCCTTCTTCGACTTCAAATCTAGCCCCAGCAGGGCTTTCGAGTCTTCCATGCCACCAAGACGTTCCTCTCGGTCGCGCGCCTCAGCGGAACCATCTGCAGCAGCGTCGAAACGTAAGCGCAATGAGCCGGTAGAAGTGGAGACCGACGAGGAAGAAGAGGTCAAGCCTGCCCCCCGTACACGCAGATCGAGCTCAGTGCAACCATCATCCAAGGGAAGATCGTCGACGCGCCCAAAGAAGTCGTTGGACCAGGTGCAAGAAGAAGACGAGGAAGAGGAGGAACCATCCCCACCACCCAAGAAGAAGTCGCGTCCGTCCTTGGAGACGGAGGAGGAAGGCGATGAGCCGGAGGAGGCCCCGAAACCCAGGTCACGGAAGCCGCCTTCAAGGGCGTCCGCTGCACCCGCGGCCGCGCCTGCGACTAGGAAGACGCGAGGCTCTTCCGTTAAGGCGGAGTCTACGGAGACCCCTCTTCCACGGAGGAAGACTGTGGCGACGGCCACCACATCCACGACTCCACGCTCGACACGACGCATCTCTACAATCGTCATTGACTCCGAGAACGAGGATGGGTATGAGCTCAACGAGAACGGCGAAAAGCAGTACATCAAGCCCTCGTCGAAGACGACTGCAACTCGTGGGAAGGGGAAGGTGAAGAAAGAGAAGGTCATATATGTGATCGACGACTCGGACGACGAGCCTCAGGCAGGGCCATCGCAGCCATCGAGGGCGCGGAGAGGGAAGAAGGAGATGACCCCGGTTAAGGAGGAACCGGCGGCGCAGGTCGAGGGTGAGGAGATGGCGGACGCAGCCGTGAAGCATGAAGCTGAGGTAAAGCGGGAAGCCGACGCCGACGCCGAGCCTGAGGGAGACCCTGCGAAGGAAACCACACCTGCTGTGGCTACTCCTGCTGAGGAGCCAGAGCGGGAGAGGTCCGAAGAGGAAGAAGAGGACGCGGAGGAGGTTACTGCAGCCGTTTTGGATGAGGCGACAGAGGCGACACCGGCCGCGTACGAAGAGGAACAATCCTTATTGGACCCTCCGCTCTCATCCATCCCGTCGCGTGAGCCACCTCAGGCCGCACCTGCCCCTGCTGAGCCGGAAGGACCCAAGCCGCGTCTGGTCATTCATAAGATGGCCCTCATCAACTTCAAGAGTTATGCTGGTCGGCAGGAGATTGGTCCATTCCACAAAGTGAGATTTTGTACCGTAATCGTGCCTCGGTCCTCACTTATGGCTCTACTGTAGTCATTCTCAGCCATCGTTGGGCCCAACGGCTCTGGTAAGTCGAACACAATCGACGCGCTACTGTTTGTCTTCGGTTACCGCGCGACGAAGATGCGTCAGGGCAAGCTCTCCGAGCTCATTCACAACTCGGCGAGATATCCCGACCTCACAGAGTGCAGCGTGGAGGTGCACTTTCGTGAGATCATCGATTTGGTGAGCAACGCTACAAAAGTTTTGCATGCTCGATGCTGACGCATCATAGCCTGGACCTGATGCATTCGACGTCGTTCCGAACTCGAAGCTAGTCGTCACGCGCACCGCGTACAAAAACAACAACAGCAAGTACACGATCAACGGGCGGGCGAGCAACTACAAGGAGGTTCAGACGCTGTTGAAGGGTCGCGGTATCGACCTAGATCACAATCGTTTCCTCATCTTGCAGGTATGCTCACGGTGGCTTGATGTGCAGCTTGAGGCGGCACTAACCTTGTGATAGGGTGAGGTCGAGTCAATTGCCCAGATGAAACCTAAGGCTGCCAACAACGACGACGACGGCCTACTCGAGTACCTCGAGGACATCATTGGCACGGCTCAGTACAAGGAGCCGATCGAGGAGACGCTTGCCGAGGTTGAGCGGCTCACGGAAGCACGGCAAGAGAAGCTCAATCGCCTCAAGATCGTCGAGAAGGATCGCAAGGCGCTCGAGGCGAAGAAGAAAGAGGCCGAGGACTACCTCCGGATGGTGAACGATCTTATCCGCGCGAGATCACGTCTGTGGCAATGGTACATCTGGCAGGCTTTGCTGAACGAAACGAAGCTCGAGCAGAAGATCGTGAGTAATTGCTAACCCACGCAATGGCGTTTCCTGATCGGTCCTCCAGAATGAGAAGGAGAAGGAGCTCCGGGAGGAGCGGGAGCAGAATCAGGACGATATTACCCATCTGGAGATGCTTGAGAAGCACTACGAGGAGAAACATACTGCATACGAGGTAATCTTGTGACCTCCCTATTCGTACGAAACGGAATGCTTACTCCCTACCGCAGGACGTCAAGAAAGCTGCGGAAGCGGCTGTCAAAGATCTCGCTGCTCGCGAGAAAAGTCAGATCAGTCTCCAGGAGAAGCGTAAGCATGCCAACTCTAAGGCGAAGAAGCTCAACAAGTCCATCAATGACGTATGCCCCATCTACTGAGCTTGTAACGACCTTCACTTACCAGACTGGTGCAGGACGAGACCGCCATGACTAAGGCGGGACATACTATCGAAGACAGCGACGCCAAGATGGAACAGACAAGGAAGGAACTCGAGAGACATGATACCGAGCTCGCTCAAGCGGAGAAGGTACTCGAGGAGATCCGGGATAGCTTGAAAGGTTTGTCCGCATGCAAGTTGTCTCCCATAGATGATTTGTATCCAACGTCCGTGTACAGACAAGACGCAAGTTTTCCACGATCAGATCGAGGTCAAACAGAAGGAGCTTCAGCCTTGGATGGCGAAGATCAACTCCAAGCAGGCGGAAATTGACATCGCTAAGAGCGAACGCGATGCTCTGCAGAAGAAAGCGGAGCAAGCTAAGATGGCGAGGGAACGCGCTGAAGGCTCGCTGGAGGAACTCCGCGAGGAGCATCAGGCGAAGATGGCCGAGCTCGAAGGTCTCAAGAGGGAGAAGGCAAAAACCCAGAGTGACATTCGGGACGCTGAAAAGGAACTCCAGGTCTGGCACATTGTATGCCCTATATTGCACGTATGTGACTGACAAAGGCGCTCTAGACTGCCCAGAGTCAAATTCAGAACCTCCGCGCGAAAGTCTCAGCCTCGCGTGTGAAGGTTGATGAAGCTAGGTCCAACCAGGAGCGGAGTCACAGCAACAACCGAGTGCTTGACAGCCTGAACCGTCTCAAGAACCAAGGCCGTATCAGTGGCTTCCACGTACGTTTCACTACATACTATGTTCCTGATGCCAATGTTAACGGCGATTTCCAGGGTCGTCTTGGTGCCCTCGGTACCATCCCCGACAAATACGACATCGCAGTATCTACCGCGGGTGGTGCGCTCGGTAATCTGGTCGTCGACACCGTTGATCAGGGTCAAGCCTGCATCGAATATCTGCGCAGCCAGCAAGTCGGACGTGCGTCGTTCATGGTCCTCGAGAAGCTGAGCGACCGCGGCATGGAGAGGATCCAGACACCCGAGAACGTGCCCCGCCTTTTCGACCTCATCAAGCCCAAGGAGGAACGCTTTAGGCCCGCATTCTACAAATGTCTGGGAAATACCCTCGTCGCGGAGAGCCTCGACCAAGCCAACCGCATTGCATTTGGCGGCTCGCGCCGGTGGCGCGTCGTCACCCTCGCTGGACAGCTCATTGACTCTTCTGGTACCATGTCCGGTGGTGGTAATACCGTGTCAAAGGGCGCTATGAGCTCGAAGCTCCAGGCGGACTCCGTGTCACCCGAGACCATCCGACAGTATCAAGAGGAGAGCGAACGGGACCAGCGCGCACTCGAGCAGGCGCAGCAGCAGCTCCGGGAGCTCGAGAACAGGCTTGACAATCTCAAGCAGGCGGGCCCTCGCCTCGACAACGCAATCGACCGGCTCAATCTCGACATCAAGAACTGCTCCGAGCGTATTGCAGACTCTGAACAGATCGTCAAGAACCTGAAGTGGGTCTTCTTGTGTGATCCATGAGTATCTGTCTTATCTCCGTCCTACAGATCTCAAAGCAAGCCTGACGCTGGCGACGTTGCCCGTATCGCTACTCTCGACCAGGAAATCGACGCCGCTACCACTCAGCTCGAGAAGCTTCAAGGGAAGGCGAAGGACATCGAGGATGAGATCGGGGAGCTCGAGAAGAAGATCCTCGAGATCGGCGGTGCTCGTCTCCTCTCGCAGAAGTCCAAGGTCGAAGGCATCCGCCTGCACATCAATCTTGCCAACGACGAACTCACCAAAGCGGAGGTCGCTAAGGCCAAGGCTCAGAAGGATATCGACAAGCTCACACACAGCATCGAGCAAAACCGCAAGGAGCTTGAGGACGTCGAGGCGGAACTCGCCGAGCTCCAGGAGCAGTTGGAGGAAGTGGAAGGATACATGAGCGAGCTCAAGAAGCAGGTCGATGTCGCTCAGGCTGCGGCCGAGAAGTCGAGCGATGACCTGGCGAAGCTGAAGGAGGAGCTGGACGAGAAGACGGAGGAGATTCAGGCTTTCAGACAGCGTGAGATGAAGATCCAGAACGAACTAGAGACCCAGAGGAAGAAGTACAAGGAGAACAAGCAATCTCTGGATCACTGGATGGCTGAGCACGAGAAGCTCCAACTGGAGGACGTTGAGTGAGTACCGCGAATCCTAATTTCATAATGACATTTTTGACTGGGTCGTAGCGAGGATGATGATGAGGGGGAGGAAGGCCAGGCAGGCAATGCTCAAGGCTGCGGGAGCGATGATAGCGGAGACGACGATGATGGCGAAGGCAAGAAGCGTCTAGTCAAGAAGGAGCCCGGCAAAAGCAAGGCTCGTGCTCGCACGCCCTCGCACACGCTGCATACATTCACCGAAGCCGAATTGAGGACGTTCACCAGAGATGCACTCCTCGCAGACACTGAGCTGTTGGATGGTGAGTGTGTAGCAACACGCTGTGCACTATATAGTGCTGACGAATCTATAGAGAAGGTCAAGAACGCTAAGCCAGATCTGAGCGTCCTGAAGGACTATCAGAAGCGCGAGGAGGAGTTCTTGCGCCGTGCGGCTGACTTGGACGAAGTCACCAAGCTGAAGAACCAGAAGAAGGCGGAGTACGACGAATTGACTAACAAGCGACTCAAGGAGTTTATGGCGGGTTTCAACACCATCTCCTTGAAGCTCAAGGAGATGTATCAGGTGAGGATCAGAAGGGTACTAATATCCGATGTATCTGACGTAAATCTCGCTCACTAGATGATCACTCTCGGCGGTAATGCCGAGCTGGAGCTTGTCGACAGCATGGACCCTTTCTCAGAGGGCATTATCTTCAGTGTGATGCCGCCCAAGAAGAGCTGGAAGAACATCTCCAACCTTTCTGGTGGGGAGAAGACGCTCAGTTCGCTGGCTCTTGTTTTTGCTCTGCATGTCTATAAGGTATGTTCGACCCAGCGAATGCTATCAAGCACCTGCTGACGACCGCGAATAGCCAACTCCTTTGTACTTTATGGACGAGATCGACGCCGCCCTGGACTTCCGCAACGTCTCTATTGTGGCGAACTACATCAAGGATCGCACGAAGAATGCACAATTCATTATCATCTCACTCCGGTATGGGTTCTCATTGCATCGACGCAGTGTTCTTGGCGCGCTAATATGTTATGGGTTCAGTAACGACATGTTCGAACTGAGCCACCGTCTCATCGGCATATACAAGACCGCCAATGCCACTAGAAGTATGTCAAACCACGTCGTGTCCGTATCATTGATTGACGCTGATCTCTCGTACAGGCATCTCGATAGATAACCACGCTCTGAGCAATATACCTATCAATGCAGTACCGGTAGCGAGTTAAATAATGTCCATAGTTGTACAGTACGGTGCCATAGTCGCACGTGTTGTGTATCCTGTCCTATCCTATCCTATACACCGTCTCTGTTGTGTATCGTTCAACCTACGTTGCTGATGTACTGGGAGATAACATCCGCGAGCCCACGTCCTTGCCATGTCTTCCCACCTTGTCCTTGAGGAAGCACGAGGGGAAGCCCGCGCTTAAAGAAAGGGTGGCCGAGCGCATCCGCGGCCGGGAGGCGCATGACAGGCTCGTATGTTAGAAGCCTCGTCAGGAGGTCAAAGCTGTCCTCACTCTCTTGATATCTGCCTCCTGAAGGCAGATTGGGGAGGAGCTTGGACAAGTCCGCGGGAGGGCTTTCAAAGAATGTCACCTTCCCAGCATCAGGGAGTTGTTTGAATGTCTGCGGAAGATGCATCGGAGTCAGTTGACTGCGTTATCGAGCATGCTGATAGCAGACATACCGGCCACGTCTCATCACTGGGTGTGCCGTGCACCTTGAATATGCTCCATGCGAGGCCGATCTGCCCCCTGGTCGAGTCGTAGAGCGTTTCCCGCACCCACCGGGCATTTAGGCTGGTAGGCGAGACGCCTTTGGATACGACGAAGGGCATCTTCGCAGGAGGGGCGTCCGAGTCCCAATCGCCTTCGTCTTCGTCCTCATACCAATCATCTTCATCGTAGCATGCTTTGCGCAACTTCAGCGGCGTAAAGAATTCCGCTAGCACGGCACCCATGCTCCACAAGTCGATCGCGTAGGCGTTATAGTCCCTCGTCCCGAATAGGAGCTCTGGGGCGCGGTAAGGTCTGCAAGTTCAGCCGACAAGAGATTAACGTCCGAACTGATCGCGAGGTCAGATGTGAGATAATGATGAAGGTTTACGGACCCTGTTGCGACGTCGAAGCACATCTTCCCGGGCGGCTCTGGCCATAGATCGCGCTCATTCGGCTTCTGGGACCATGCTACCCCAAAATCGATGAGTTTGACACAGCCGTCGATGGTAATGAGGATGTTCTGAGGCTTGACGTCACGGTGTGCAATCCTGCGTTCGTGGATGAACGCGAGCGCCGAGAGGGTCTGGTAGACAAGAGACTTGGTAGCGACGAGGAACGCGGACGCGTCTGGTGTACTTGCACCGTTCACCGCACCAGGAGGGGCGAACGCAGAGAAGCGAGTGCTTGCAAGGATGTTCGAGAGATGGTACGGAACGAACGGCATCCAGAAGTGCACCGTACTCATCGGTTTCTCGAACGCATGCCCGAGTACCTCGATTACCTGGGCGAGGGTAAGCCAAGGACACGTCGTGAACAGCACCAGAGGACATACGTTGCTATGCGGCGAGTTACAGAGCATGCGCAGCTCCTTGCCAATATCATGCGGCTGCATCGAAAATCGTGGGTTGACCGACCCGCTCTTGATGGCGACGACCGATCCCCGAGAAGCGTCGCGGAATCGTGCGCGGGTCACATACGCGGCCACGCTCTCCGCGATCGTCTCAAAAGTGTCCTGTTGCGTACATAGTCAGTACCAGCCCCAACGGCGATGTCGCGCGGGGTCCATGTAAAGGATCACCAGGCAAGGAGAAGCAGTACTCACGACGTCAAACGTATCCTGCAGTCGCGGCGCGAATTGCTCGAGTTCATCGAAACCAGCCATGTCGACTAGGTCACCCATAGCGCGTCTGGTGGCACTCTTGCAGTTGGTGATGTTCTCGTAGGAGGCTGTTGTGGAGAGGGGATGAAGGCATTGCGCACAGGGACTAAGAGGAGTTATACTAGCGTCGCGCGTACAGGCTCCTCCTCACGCTGCCCTTCGCGAACGGCGCTTGGCGCTTGGCGCTTCGGTCCGGCTCCGTCGGGATGACCCTGTTCGTCACCGGTTCAGACCAAACAGCAACTTGTGGCCAAATCCCTCCTCGTTCAACCGCGGTGTCAACGGACATTTGCCTCACAACGTCTCTCAACCTCTGCGTTCTCATCCGATCACACGACTCTGACGTTTCGCAGCAAGACTGGCAACATCCACCGTTCTGCAGCGCAGGCTCGCCGCGCGCATAGGGGAGAGGATGTGCCACTTCCACGAGAACGCCGTCTCGTTTCTGTGCAACGTAGTGGCACTACGTCCTGTGAGTCCACCTGCTGTCCAATCTGCTTCTCAGTTACGTTGATCGAGCGCCATTAGAATTCAAGAGATCCCATTCATCGTACGAAACCTCGAGCTCGGCGTCTTCGCCAGTCGGGGAAGGCCACTTCTCCAGGATTGGGAGTGAGAGTTTACAAAGAAGAGGTACGTCTTGCGTACGGTCCCGAAGCCAACAGACGCACACCGCCCAGGACGAAGGCTTCCCTGTACGACGTCGCTTCCATGTCGGCGTTTCATTCAGGGGAGGGGTCACGGCATAAAGTTTTGAGGTCATCCGTGAGGATACAGGTGAGACAATGTGCGTAGCTTAGGGGTTCAACACATCTTCACATTATCTTAGAGGACCGTCACAGGACAGCTCATGGTCGCGGAGAAGAAGGTCTGACGCCTGCTTCACCGGCCTAGATACTCTGACTCACGATCCCCCAGCAGATACCGGAGTCTTATGAAGACGAAGACTGGGATCTAGAAGACCTCGGAGAGGTGTGTTGCCACGCAAAGGTTCTTCGAGTGCTGCCTTCTGACTTGTGTCAAACTGGCAACAGGCACGCTCGATGATCAATGAAGGCGTCAAACCCAGCAAGTTCTCGCAGTATCATCCTATCCAACCTCTAGGACTCATCGAAAGCGTTGCGGCGAACATACTTCCTACTGTAGACGAGGGCCCAGAGCTGGCTCTCGTTGACATGCCCGAAGTGAGTACACCGCCTCACACGTGTACGAGGCTGAATGAGGGTCAATCACTTTGCTTCCATTAAAACATTCAGGCCGTACAAGGCTACCCACGCCGTGGTGACCTCATGCCCAGCTACTCTCCTCGTTTGCTATCTGCGGGACCACCCTCAATACAAGTCACTTTGGCCAGTCCATGGACCCCCCATTCTCCCATATTCCGACGTCATTCGCCGATTACAGTCACCAAGTACCTTCAGGCGACCTCACCTCAACTAGCTTATATGATGCGGTCTGGCGCTTCGTCTGGCAGGGTGGCTTCGACTTGCCCCCTACCCTCAGTCCGGTCATGTGACATATGCTGCCTCACGCAGGTCGAAGACGACATCGTCTGTTGGGCGTGCGAGCGTCAATGGCTTGCATGCAAGATGTGGTACCAGGCCAACGACGAAGGTCTTATGGAGCCGTTCATGAGACGCGCGGAGAGTAATGCCGATCTTCGAGCAGTTTTGGAGTCCCTGAGCGTTCCGCGGGAGGACGAACGAGCGGGTCGTATTGGCTTAGGATCCGACTTGCTTAGTGCAGACACAATCAAGAAGCGGCCTCCCTTTCGCGTGGTCGACCCCAGTCCTGTCAACTCTGGAAGCGATCGCGACTGTCCTCCAGCTGGCAAGCGTTTTCTCTTATTTGGTTCAAGGTCATGGCGGCACCTGCGTAGCATTTTCATGGAAGCGAGAAGAGAGAGCCGCGACGCGGTACGGGCCTGGGTCGCGGCCTCTCTAGGTCCCCTCTCTCCGCTGTGTCGGTCGGACGAACCAAAGCTGCGCCGTCGTTCTGGGGGGCTTTCTGCTGTGAGCACATCTCCTCTGGCTGTACATCATGGTCTTGCGGCAATATGGGCGAACTGCGACAGGCCTTGTCTTTCCCAGCTATCCCCAGCCTACGGCTCACAACTTTTCGGTTCGGCCGACAACGCATCCGGCTCTCGATTCATCGAACATCTTGTCTAGTCCTCCCAAGGCCTTTGAACCTGCGCATGACATGCATGAAATTGCCGTAACGGCGGTGCATCGATTGTGCTGCGACGTACCGACAGACTGGAGTGCCGCTCCCCTGGTGGGGGCAAACGCGTCTCTGGACACTGTTCTCCAGGTGGATGTAGGCACGACCATGTAGTAAACATACTACGCATGTATCGATTAAAACACTGTTCTATCCTGTCCTGTGCATGTGACAAGGTTTGCGCTCATGCGTTGCTGCCGGTGCAGTTAGGGTTTGACGTCAGCTGAGAGCGCCCAGGGGACTTGAATAGCCGTGTCCCTCCTGCCATGTTGAGCCGCCGACGAGGTCGCCAGAGCCAGTGCTTGGCGCACGCACGAACGCTGCTCTCAACATCATCGCCCATCCCTGCCTCGCACCAGCCCGTAGGCAAGCATGCTAAACACCGCGGAACGCATCGCAAAGACAGCTACGACAGGGGCCACGCAGACATGGACATGAGCCGAAGCGGGGCGCTGGCCCGAAGTTACGAGTGCGAGAGGTCCGCACGTACCACTCACTCGTTCCCTGCACCCGGGCCCTCCGAGCGTGCTCGCCGCTTATCCTTTCGTCCCTGCCGTCACCGTGCACTCCGTTCCCTTGGGCTACCACTCACCCTCACAGTGGCATTCGACCACGTCGTCTTGCCGTCATCCCTCCACTTTGCGCGCGCTGCCTGTTATACTTGCTCATGCACCCCTCTTCCGCGTCCCCCTCCCGCTTCGCACATCACCTTCACGCCTACGAGCACGACAGATGCAGGAGACAACTTCCGACCTGGAGCTGGCTGCGCGAGAGCCTGAACGCCAGGATGTCACTCTGGACAACCCGCCGGCAGTTGCTCCGCCCGCACTTCTGCCTCAGCAGGCGCAGAAAGGCGGTTGCGCTGCCTGGTGGCACCATACAAAGAAGTATGCTTGGATCGTCGTTCGACATACGACAAAGCATACAGGGGTTGGAATTGTGTGCGCCGTTGCGTACTTCGATCCGTAAGCCACCTGCTTAGGTAGTCTTGAACCATGCATGGTTGACGGCCACTAGGGGTAATTGGGGAGTTGACCTGCAGGCAGGGTCTGAGTATGGGTACAAGCTGCTCTTCGTAGTGCTCCTTGCGGGCATATTCGCCATCGTCTTCCAAGTGAGTTACCTTGCTGTATGCGTTCTTTGCCATCACTGACTGATGAAGTAGACGCAAGCATCTCGTCTCGGTTGCGTCACCGGAATGGGTACGCAAAGTAGAATCCCGAAATTGGGAGTCACAAGCATGCTCATCTCTGTACAGATCTTGCGTCCCACTGCCGTCTGCTACTCTACGACCGCCCAAAACACAAACTTCTATGGCGCTGGCTCGCGCTGTACCCGCTATATGCGCTCTCCGAAATCGCCATCGTGAGCACCGACCTCGCCGAGCTGCTAGGGTCAGCAATCGCGCTCTGCCTCTTGTTCCCGAAACTCCCGTTGTGGGCGGGCGTCCTGATCACTGCATCCGATGTGTTGTTCCTGCTCGCGCTCCGGGACCCCATCCGGGGCCAACCGGTCAGGCTCTTCGAGCTCAGCATCGCTATTCTTGTATGTTCCTTGCCGCCCTGCTTTTCCCGAGGGTACGCGAGCTGACCTGCAATGATCCGCACTGCAGGTATCCGTTGTCCTTATATGCATGGCCATCATCATCTCTAAGGCACGTGTACACTGGGAGGATGCGTTTGACGGCTTCCTGCCGTCGAAGACGCTCTTTCAATCTGGCGCGCTTTACACATGTGAGCTCGCTACAGCGTATTCTGCCTACATATTCTCATGTCTACCTCACAGCGATCGGGATCATAGGAGCGACAGTCATGCCTCACAGCCTGTTTCTAGGGTCCGCTTTGGCGACTCAAGATAGGATGTCGATTAGGGAAGCGACATCAATGGCCGATGTTCGGATAACTGTGGACTCGACAGACTCGATGGTATCGGAGACGACCACTCTGTCAGACTCTAGAGCTCCCTCTCCCCAGTCAGCGAAACATGACATGCGCTGTTGCTTTCGATCGTTTGCTGCGGCAGCCCGCCGGCACCTTCGCCTCGTACAGATCGACGGCCATCCGGACGAGCCAAAGTCGCATGCAGAACGCGAGAATAATCCGTACTATTTCGTGCGCGCGCACCTGTACCACGGCATCGTGGATATGGTCATCTCGCTGCTGGGATTGGCGGTGGTGATCAATGCATTGTAAGTCGCACGGCTTGGCAAATCCACGTATGCCGATTGGCTAACGATGTTGGTCCAGGATCCTGACCTTGTCGAGCGCAGTCTTCTTCGACGGCCGTAACGGATCGCGAACCCCGGCGAGCCTGTTTGACGCGTACGCGCTGTTGCAGGACGAACTTGGAAAGGGTACGTGCCCATCTGTCTACGTCATTCTCGTTGAGAGCCCTGATCGTCTGGTGTCACACAGGCATCGCTATCATGTTTGCCTTAGCACTGCTCGCATCCGGGCAGAGCGCGTCCATCATCGCGACACTCGCAGGCCAGATCGTCTCCGAAGGCTTTATCCGCTGGAAAGTCTCGGTGCGTCCCCACCCCTGCACGCCCGTGCCTCGCCAGCGTTCTCACTCACCCTCGTCTCGCAGCCTATCATGCGCCGCTTCCTCACGCGCTGTCTCGGCCTCATTCCCGCTCTGCTGGTCGCCGCCGCGGCAGGGCGGCCGGGGATAGACACGCTCCTAGTCGCGTCCCAGGTTGTGCTGTCGATTGTGCTCCCGTTCATCGTGTTTCCCCTCCTATGGTTCACTTCGTCCAAGTCGATCATGAGCGTGAAGAAACCGCTGGAGCGGGTCGCTTCGCAGGATACCTCAACCCAGGGTGCGTTGTCCACACAGGACCCCATGAGCGTGGAAGCGCAGGTGGCGATGGTCGACTTTTCGAATGGGAAAGTCATGGTTGTGGTTTCGTACGCGATCTGGCTCGTTATAGTGATAGCGAATGTGTATGCAATCGTCGGACTCGCGATGGGGCAAGGCGGTTGACCGTCCCCTTCGCCTTCAGTGCCTTCCTTGCCGCGCATTACTATCATAGCAGCAGCATACAACTTTGTCAATCTCCCTTTCGGACTTGGATTATCACATTGGATGTAACATAGCACCAGTTATCTCATAGACGTATGCCGTCGATGCTTTTGTGTGCTTTGCGTGCGATACAAACAGTCACTAATGCAGCTGGTAACTGGATTGTGGATATGTTGCGAACGATGAGCAGATCAATGGTCCATGATGTGCGACGGTACGTGCAATGGTGAGACGAAACAAAGCTCATGAGAGTTTTTCGAGGGGTGTGATGAGCGTTCCCATCTATAGAGAATCCGTCAGCATCCTCCTAGCCCTGCACGGCACATCGAAACACACCTTTGTGACGACCTTGGGCAGCGTCGCCCTCTGGAAGCCGAGGCGCGTGTTCCACTCGGTGCCGAGCGGGACCTCCATACTCCGCTCAAATTGCGCCTTACTCGTGTAAGGGTACGGCAGGTCCTTGACGAGGTACTTGGCTGCCTTCTTGTCGCGCTTTTCCGAGATTATGACGTGCGCCTTCTTGTAGTCTGCACGCGACTTGGGGTCGATCCCCGCGACCTTCTTGATCAGATGCGGTTTGGGAGCGGCCTTCTTCGTGCCAGCGCCTCCCCATGAGCCCTGCGAATCGAAGATAGTTAGGGAACTGTGCGGGTAGGTGCAAACGGCGCTCGACGTACCCAACCTGGAAGTGTGTTGTCAATCTCCTTCGGAGCGTCTTCTGCCATCTCGCGGCGTTTAGCCTCGGCGAAGTCCTACATGCGTACAAGCTGGGTGAGAGATTTCTGAGTGAACGCAACGGATGTTGACGTACCTGAACAACATTGTCGCCGGCAAAAGCGAGGGCGACGAGATCGCGTTGTTCGAACGCCTTCACGCCGTTCGCCTTGCCTTTTCCCTTGCTTTTCCGTGCGGCAGCCCGCTCTTGCTCCTCGAGTTCGCTGTTGACGTCCGAGTCACTATCCTCGTCGGCGGCGGAGGTCGCCTTCGCCTTGCCGTCCGCAGCAGGCGCAGACTTCAAGGCAGTGACTTTGGACGGTTCGCTCGCCTTCGAAGGCTCAGACAGGGTCATGACGGTGGACAGGGAAATGTCGACTTCGGCATCCTCCTGCGCCTTCACCTTCTCCTCGAGTCGCTTCTGCTGGCGTTTGCGGAGCTTGTTCCTGGACTTCTCGACAGCGGCGCTCTCTTTGCTAACAGCGACCTCGTGCTTCGTCAGGCCTTTGCTAGAGCTGCTTGCTTGAGCGAGCCAGGGGTTGACCTCGGCGGCCGGGGAAGGGACACGGCGTTGTGAGACGGGCGAGCCTGGAGGCGAGGCAGACTGTTCTGGCAAACCTTCTGGAGGAACGTCCGTGGACTTCAGTGTTACGCTCGATGTATCCGAAGCCAGAGAGCCAGCGGGTCGCATGCCCGATGTCTTCAGAACGTCAACAGCAGTAGATCATCGATGTTGAACTGCACTCACCATCACACCAGGACGATAGACTACGCGCCCACCTGTCCGCTGAACCGTCACGTTCAACGGCTCCTCCGCCACTTGCTGCACGTCCACGTCCACGTCCTCGCCATCGTCACCATGATCGCTGCCCATCTCTTTGACGAAGTCATCGGCTATCTCTTTCGCCTTGCGCTGCTCGCGAGCCATCGCATCCTTCATGAACTTCATCTCAAAGATACTTTTGCTCTTTTTGCCTTCAGGCGCCTCAGGCTGCTCCGCGTCCAACGCAGCGAGTTCGTCGAACGCCTTCGCCTTGATGTGTGCAAAGCTCTCCCCATCGTCCCCGTCGTCACTCTCATCCCCGCTCTCCTCGTCGCTCTCACCCTGGCCCTGAATCTTCCGCCGCAGCTTTTCGCCCCTGTCCAGCATCTCGTTGATGTCTCTGCGCTGGTCCTCGTCCAGCTCGCCCCGCGCGCGCATCGCCTTCGCCCACTTGCCCGTGTTCTTGTGCCTCAAGGTTGCCCGCTCCCTCGCGCGCTCGACCTCGCGCTTCAGCCGCGCCTCCTCGTCATCCAGGTCGTCGTCCGAACCCTCCCCTAGCTTCTCCGCAAGACGCGCGCGCTCCTTCTTCTTGATGCGGCGATACGTTTTGCTCTTGATTTTCGCGATGCGCTTCGCCTTAGCTTCGGCACGGAACATGAGGTCGCGCATCTTCGCGAGCTCAGCGCGGCGCGCGGCGACTTCTTCGACGGAGAGATGATTCAACTTGAGGGATTCGGTTTGGGCGATCTCGTCCTCGCGCATCTTTGCGGACTTGAGGAGCTTGTCAACGGCGCTCTCAAGCTCGTTTGAAGGCTATATTGTTAGTCAGCACGTGCGGCAATATATAGAGGCTACTGTTGTAGACCTGCCTTGAACTTGGCGGCAAGCTCGAGGTTTGATGTCCTGCTCTTGGGCTCGGCTTGAAGAGGGAAGCTCAAGTGCTCAGCCTAGTGGCAACAACATAAGTACTACGCGCAGTGCGCATCACTGGTCATGTATGTACCTCCTTGATGCGCTGCATAGTGACCTTCCACTTGTCGACTTCCTCCTTAGTCTGCTCGTATGCAGCCTCACGGTCGAGACGTTCCGCGGTACGTTGAGGTAACGGTGCAGAAAGAGTCTTGATCTTTCCCCCGGTTGAGGCAAGAACTTTTGCCGACTTCCTGAGCGATTGGAGATTTGCCGATTGGCCGCCCTCCAGAGGAGCCAAAAGATCGTCTAGGCTGAGCTTCCCGTCTCCTAAGAGTGTTGACTTAGTACGATCTCAATATACGCGCGTGATAGACGAACCTGTAGTAGCGGCAAACTCGTTCTCTACCCCTGCTTCGGTCAATTCGGGCAGTAACCTGCGCTTTCGCGCAGGCTTGGAATCAGCACCATCTACTGCTGCATCGTCATCATCAGGTGCTTTGCGTTTATGCCCAGCGTCGAGACCGGTAACGAAGCTCTCGAGCTCTTGCAGCGCATCGTCGCCATCTTCGCCTTCGTCCTCGGAGGCAGAGACGATCTTTGCCTCCTCCTCTTCATCCTCCTCTTCGTCGTCGTCATCTTCTTCGGCCGAGTCCTCCATATCCTCATCCCCATCTGTGTCGAATTCCTCACCACTTCCGGCCGCTGTCCTTCTCGCCTGATCTTCCCTCTCGGCTTTTCCCATACCAGTTTCACTATCTGATTCCCCGCGACCGTCCAGGACATCCAAAACATCAATGAATTCGCTGGGATCGCCTTCTTCCTCTTGCTCCTCCTCTTCGTCGCCGTCCTCGGAAGATGAATCGTCTTCTGCAACCCCTTCGGCTTCTTCGACGTCATCCTCGTTGAGGTCAACGTCTACAAATCGCACGGCGCGAGTCTTGGCGGGAGCTTTCCGCTTAGGCTTTGACCTTTCCTTGGCCTAGACAAGAGCTATAGGTTAATGCAGTGAATGCAGATTTTTTGTTCGAACAGGCGTACTTTCTGCGAGAAGCTGAAGCCGGCAAAGCGCTCTTCATCGCTCTCCTCGAACGCTTCATCACTGTCGATCTCCTCATCATCTTCCTCCGCAATACCCTCGTCGTCATCGTTTTCTCCAATGAGCCTGGGCCTTGTGTCCCTCCTCCTCCCTCCTGCACCCTCCTCCTCGCCCCCACTATCGGCCGCGCCCATTCCCGTTGTCTCATCCCTCTCCAGCAAAGGCTTGATTTTTGCACGACGGACCTTCTCCTGTTGATATTCGTACACGTCCGAGAGCCCAGAGCTCAACGTATTGGACTTCAGACTCTGCCGCTTCGCATAACCGAGTGCATTTGCCGCCTTGCGCGATGGCCGGCTGGAGGTGGTAAACTTTCCAGAGGCTCTACCCCTGGCCATTGAAGCAGGTATGTGGGGTCGGACTGACAACGTAAGAGAAAGGTGGTTGCGACTGAACGCCAAACAGGAGGAGACCCAGAGACCGTAGATTGTTTTTGCCTAGCGATTTGCGACTTCTGGCTGAGATCTGCCTTGCCCGATTCGGTGGAGCACGTGCTCAAGAGTAACCCCGTCACGCTCTGTAGTCACGATTTCCCAAACGCCACCATCGTTCAACTTGTCCAAGAGTTTGCGCCACTCCACACCCTCCTTCGCCTCACTTGCATTTTCTAGCACTTTCCCACAGATAATGGACTCTCGGCTCTTCTGATCACAAAGTCAGCGTTTGAATGCTCGAACGACACCGGAGTGACTTCAGGACGCCACGCCCTAGCGCCTCGAACCTCAGGTGATAAACTCGGGGCTGTGAAGACAAGGATTAGATCCGACTAGAGTCGAAGCAAGATCTTCAGTCAGTAAGGAAAGACTATATTGCAGTAACCAACTGTACCTAGAGTCGAAGCAAGACTACAAAGGTCAAGTAAGTAACTACAAGTTAGAGATAGATGTAACGAAGTACTCACTCTTCAGTCAGTAAGGAAAGACTGAAGAGGGAGGACGCAATCTGAAGTCCTTATATACTACAGAGAAGTGTCCATGACTAATCGAAGAGTGGTTAGTCACATGTACCATAGTGCGATGAATAATACGATGGTGAAAGAATTGCGACGTATCGCACCATAGGATGAGTAAGAGATGAGTAAGGCATAGACCTGTCTAGACCGTTCTGGAGTAGTACAGATTGTCCTAGACAGTACCAGAAGAGTCCGGAAGCATAGCTATAGTACACGAGCAGAGAGTCCCAAATATGGTAA